GGCAGGGGCGACGGGCTGGGGCGACGGGCTAGGGCGCGGGCTGGGGCGACGAGCTAGGGCGCGGGTTGGGGCGACGGCCTAGGGCGCGGGTTAGGTCGCGGGCAGGGGCGACGGGCTGGGGCGACGGGCTAGGGCGCGGGCTGGGGCGACGAGCTAGGGCGCGGGTTAGGTAGCGGGCAGGGGCGACGGGCTGGGGCGACGGGCTAGGGCGCTGGCTGGGGCGACGAGCTAGGGCGCGGGCTGGGGCGACGGGCTAGGGCGCTGGAGAAGGGGCAGGCTAGACGCGGAGGGCGCTAGGGCGCGGAGGGCGCTAGGGCGCTGAGAGCGCGGAGGGCGCGGAGGGATCTCGGGGCGCGGAGGGCGCTAGGGCGCGGAGGGCGCGGAAGGCACGGAGTGTGCGGAGGGCGCGGAGAGCGCTAGGGCACGGAGGGCGCAAACACGGGCTAGGCTAGGCTAGAAAACGAACCTAACTGATACCATCTCAAGAAGCGTGCACAACGAAATGATCAACTAGAAACAGGATAGGGTACAAATATGTGAACCTAACAGTTGTACCCCCTAGAAGGCACCTCACTACAGCCTATATAACATATTATATATTTGACACAGACTAAAGTTGGGGAGTGCGTGGAACGGTACTACCCAGGGTTCAGAATTTGCCAACTAAAGAATTGTGCCAGTGCTGGAAGTCTCCCATAAAATCAGCCCTAAAAATGACTGTTTCACACCTACCGTACCATGCTTCAAACAGTATCAAATGGGTAAAAACAGGATCACCTGGTATTCCACATGGTTTGAAATCCCCATGTCTGGTCACTGCAGTACATGCCACTTGGCCACCTCTCATAAGAGACAACTCGGCTACGGAACAGCTCGTTCTTGAAATCCAAAAAGAATTCCCCCAGAGCTGTGTTCCTGCAGACAGCCTGGTGTACCACAAGTTGCTCGAGAAGGAGCAAACATGCACGTCTTTAAACGGAAGAGAGACATCCAGAGGCAGGTTGGGTGTGGAGAGAACGAGCTGCTGGATGGAAGGCATGGTAGCGCGGCCATACCATCCCAGGGCATAAATATCCACTGGTACCTCCCTCCATCCAATCACCTGCATGCCGTTGCCCTCAGCCTCTATCACTCCTTCCACCACTGTGGGAAGAGAAAGGGGGGTACGGAGGAGGAATGATGTTGGGAAAATAAGTGATCCAAAATCTTCTGAGATGTCTCAAAAGCCATTCTATCACCTGCATGCCATTGCCCTAAGCCTGTATCACCCCCTCCACCACTGTGGGAAGAGAGGGGGGAGAGGGGAGGGGTGGAAGGAGAATAGTTGTGGCTACTTCGTGATGCAACAAGAATGTAGAGCACGGAAGGAAGTTTTCCCAACAGTTGCTTGCCCAGTTTTCATGTTTGCGTTTGTTTTTTATGAGTTGGTGATATAGGAAGGGTGAAGAAGTTGGACACGCAAGAAAAGGACTAGGCGGAAACGCCAGTGCCACTGGCACTGCAGCAATCATGAAAGCAGCCTAGGGAATAATATTACATTGTCTACCTAATCCTTACCTACCTAGCTTAGGCACCTACAATGCCAAGGCAGAAACGTCGATGCCACTGACACTGCACTACAGCAATGATGAAAACAGCTTCCTTCCCGACCAATGGAGAATAATAGACGTGACTAGACGGAATGAAAAGAAAAGGAAAGAAATGTGGATGCAGCGGTTGTCTTGTTAGGACAGAAAGACGTGCTCACGTTGCATGGCAGGCAACGTGGTGGTAGCACCACAGCAGGAATAGGAGGGGAGAAAGCTGATCGAACTAAATTCCCTGCTCAACCATATTCAGAGTTTCTCACCTCGCTTTGCAGTGTCAACAGTTTCTCGCGGCAGAAACATCATTCCTACGACCGTCCGTGATTGATCCAGTGGGCCCCGGCCATTCTCCTGCTGCCAGCTGTCCAGGAGATCCCAAGGGACAATTGTCACGAGCAAGGAGCCTTCACCGGAGTCGTTGTATAGGGGAATGTCTATCTGGAAGGGGCTCTTCCTCGGATCAAACTCCGGGCACCAACAGAGTGCTTCAAGGCCCTGCGAGACAGTGGGGGCAATGTGTGAGTGTGTGTGGTTGGGGTAGGAGAAAGGGGATATTACAGTTGACTCAAAAGACGGAAGACAGTGGGGACGATGTGAGGGTAGGGGGTAAAACGGTGTGGGGGAGGGTCGTGACACGATCGGGAGGGGAGGATGCACTGTGGAGTTTTGGCAGGAGCAGGGTGGGCACAGGAGTGGGGCGAGACGGAGCGGGGAGGGGGGGTGGGGGGTGAGTGGGGGGGAGGGGGGGAACACAATCCAACGTTTTACGGTCACCTTGTGAGACAATGGATGGTGGAATGAGAGCAGGGTGGCGTGGATCCCAAGGGACGTCCGAGCATCACTCACCACAGAAGATCAGTTAAGTCTGTCTGGGGATCACCACTCATCAAGAAGCTGTCTTCACAACCGGTTGAGAAAGGAGAACTGAGGCAGGAAAGCAGGGTTACCTGGTTACCATGGCTACATGGCTGGTTGAGAGAAAGGAATATTTACTTGCAGCAAAGCAGGCTAACTAGTTGAGAACCTGATGCGAGGAATCATCCCTACAGCAATGAATGAACAGTACAAAAATCTTGAGAGATGCATTTAGCATTGTTTCTCTGCGCTTCTTCCAAATCTCTGGTTTCACGAGCTCTGCTCCCCCTAACAAGGTGAAGAAGCTGAAAAACTGAAACATCTCACCTGCCTGACAATCAGTCCAGGCGCAGGCGACTCACCAGCCTGACAATATCATGAGTGTGGCATCTACTGCGAGATGCAATGAGACCCGCGAAGTCAGTATGCTTTCTCCATTCAAGGTCCCCATAATGAGGGTTCCTCCACTGCACAAACCCATAACAGTATCAACAAGTATTGAAGACAGAACTCGATTCAATAAGTGGAACCCTCCAGTTAGACTGAGATGAGAGTCCTCTCATGTAAGAGCCGTAGACTCAAGTAACGGCGCTCGTCTGCTTATTCGTCACCTGCATAAACTGAAAGATAAAGGTCAAAAGAAGTGTAGCATAAATACAGATTCCATAAGAGGCATCAAGGTTATTGCAATAACATCGCATAATTCTAAATAAAATCCACGCTTTTGTATCACCTGCCTCGCTAACGACATTGTATGAGATGGTGGGAGATAGGACAAGAGATGGCAAAGCATGACTCGCCATGGCCGGTTGAGACAGGATAGCTGAATAGCAGCAAAAGCGCGTTACATGGTTGAACACCTCAAGCAAGCAGCCATCAGTGAACTATGAAGAAACGGCACCCCCCGTACAAACAATCACGGCTGTTTTACGCCTCTGCTCCCCTTAATTTTTTTAACAACAGCAGCACAACTGTCTTACCGTCTTGACAACATCCTGCGATGAAACGTAACCGCCGGCATGGTCGTGTTTCACCTTCTTAAAGTCTGAGAGTGAATTCCTCCGCTGCAAGAACTCAAAACAGTGCAAAGAAGCAGTGGAAACGGCAATTGAAAAAGGGAGACATGAATTACAGAATTAATTGCATGACTGTTATCAGTCTGAGAGTCCTCCCACGTGCGATCCATATATGTGCCTCCCTCTGCAGAAACTCCAACATAGGACGACGAAGAAGAGGAAGCGGAAGCACAAGTGGAAGCGGAAGCACAAAGTCCAACCAAAAGTGGCTGAAAAAACCCGTAAATCCGTCATCTGGCTGAACCGCGTATGTATTGTCTGTCATTCATTTGCATAAACTGAGAAGGAAAGGGTGAAATAAGTGTCGCACGAATAGATCGAACACCTTTCGTAGCCAAGAAGCTGTCGCATTTCTGTCGCAGGTTGTGCGATAGCATGATGCGATGGGTCTGAGACGGGCTCCGCAAGCTCGCAACAAAAGCATCATCGGCCATGGCACAAGCAACGATATCCCAACAGCAGACTAGGCGGAATAAATATCGCTAGAGTCGAAATTTAAAGCCTAATGGCGATGGATATTTCTTTAATTCACCCACGGTAGTAACTACGCTTTTGTGTCACCTGGCTCGCTAGCGCTCGTTTTTTTTTAGAATAAGTCCGACCTTGCTAGCCCTCTTTACGGCGGCATTTGTCACAATCGTCCGCGGATTCGTCCACGTCGGAATTCCCCGATTCTCGCTCGCCAATCCGAAACGATGGTTTTCAAAGCCGAGTCTAGTACGCAGACTCGCCCCATGAATTTCACCGGCATTGCTTCCGCTGATACTCGCGGGGCAAACATCACTCCTCGCGAGAAGTGAGGAAGGACTTATCGCGAGAACCATCACCATGGCTGGCTGACAATCAAGACTCTTCAAAGCGACAAGACGGTTTTTGCCGTGGCTCGTCAGTAACTTTCCGCGATTTTGACGAGACGAGAGTCGAGACGGGAGGTGTTAGGGGCGAGCTTATCATCCAACAGGTCTGTCCTCGCATTGAGGCACTCGCTAGCGGTTTAGGAAGGATGTACCAACTTTAGTTGGATTCGGTACCCTAGTTTGAATAATCAGATACATGAACGAGCCCTAGTTCGTCTCACAACACATTTCTCAAGAGAAACGATTTATGTTTGGCGAGAAAGATATAGCATGGGACAATATGCAACCCCTACTCCCCATTTTTCTGGTCCTCATTCTTTATCTCCATCTTGGGCATGACACACTCTCTAGCCTCAAATGTCAGTCAGTCAAAAAAGCATCCAGCACCACACTTAGTGGCTGGTCACCTGCTCGCTTGTGGAAATGCATACAACCATGATTTCGTTCCTCCACGCACACGTCTTTCTCTTTCTGATTCCTCGGCATCCATGTTGAGGCATGACATACTGCAAGTCACTCTGGAAGGCTCTAGCCACACCACATCCAGTGGCTGGTGTGGCTGGCTGGTGGGACAGTGTGAAAACGCCACTTTGCTCCTCATTCCCCTCCTCTCCTGCAGCTCGTCCTCATTCCTCCGTGTCCATGTGAGGCATGACATGCTCCAGGTCACTCTGAAAGGCCTCCAGCACCACATCCAGTGGCTGGTGGCGCAGCTTGGATGCTAGCGAAGGCACAAGGGGGAACCCATGCTGCCATCATCACACAAGTACACCACATTACGACAGAAAGGAAATCAAGTTGCACTTTAATCAAGCTCCTGCCCATGTAACTCCGTGCCAGAGCCAAAAATCTGCATGTTTGTGGGGAAGGTGCTAAAAGAACGTAGTGTACCTGTGCCATGAAGGTGTGTTCAGATAGCAGAATAGCGACCAGCAAGTCTGGGTACTTCACCACACTCTGCCTGTCAGTGTGATGGGGATCGAAAAAGGAGAGTGTACACAGAAAGAGGAGAAATTAGCAACTTTGGAGTTGCTTCTTCAATAGTGGATATCTCCAGTCAACACGTCTGGGTTCTGAACCACGCTCTGCCTGCAGCAGGATGATCACTGAGTAGAACGCAGTTAAGCACATGATTTGAGCACAAAGAGAAAGAACAACAGCGAGACTCCTTTCACACGGAAAAAAGGCCGACAGGAAGTTTCTCCATTCTTCCACAACCGCCAAGTTCAGGTGGTTGATGTGTTCAAATATAAGGCCTGCAAAGACCAACATGTTTGGGTCCACCATCCATAATATGCCTCTCACAGACAAAGAGGAAACCTGAGTCAACTCAGAATCCAAACGACATGATTCTTGACAAAAAAGGAAAGGGCGCACTTACGGAGTGAACTGAAAAACCACCATGTATAACATCTTGAACAACTATGACGAGATATGAAGGGACATGATAACAAGACCGTAAACTTATCAGAGTACCTCCTACGTACCTCATGCACAGCTTGGCGCATGCGATGGCAACTAGATTGAGGCTCTCCAGAGCCAGCAACAAAACGTCCCGAACACTCTGATCCATGTTGACCCAGCAGAAAAAGTACGAAACAAATACAAGAAAGGACAGCATACCAGGAGACGGCATTTCGTACCTCATGCATAGCTTGGCGCATGCAATGGCAACTCGAATGAGGCTCTCCAGAGTCAGCAACGTAACGTCCCCAACATCCTGGTCCATCTTGGCCCGGCGAATCACAAGGTAATAAGCATGCAGCGCACTGCATGCCTCCTCAGAGAAAGACGGCGACACTGCCACCCTGCTAGCAGCTTCCACGTGCTGCTGCATCTCATCCATAGTCATCAACGCAGGAATCTCCGCATCCCATGACTCCACCTCCTCTGCTTCATCCAGAAACGAATTTCCGCCCGTTTTTTTTCCGCCCTTTTTCCGCTTCATCCCAGCAGCACCGCCAACACCAGCGATACCACCGACGACGGGACCTCCGCCAGAGGAATTCGCAGGCGACAGGACAATGTCGAATTTCGGCAGCATTTTAGCGAGAGCGGCATCTTTCTTCGCAGTGATTAGATCCGCAAGCACAGGCCCAGGCAGCCCTGATGCTAGCCTAGCAGCTGTTTCCTTTGTCTCACTGTTGGAGGTCAGATAGGCGTTCTGCCCGCCTCCTGATCGGTTCTCCTCACCAAAATACGTTGCCCATACAGTTCCGCAGCCCACAGCCATCCCAGCAGCTGCTGCGACGATCTTATGCCGGTCCATGGCCTGGCTCAGCAGCACGGCCGCATCCAACCGCACCAAACCCCTGGAAACATCAGTCAGGACAATCCCGGAGCTCCCTAGGGCTAGGCTCCCAGCAGACAATCCATCCATCCCAGAGCTTGGAAGGAAGTGCTCATCGGATTTTGCAGAGAGTTTCTTTCCCAGGAGGTGGCGGCCTCTTGGGGGTTGCAGGCCCATGACATGACGGATGCTTCGCTTGGCTAGCTGAGCGGCAACTTCGAGGGACCGCTCCAGGATCGGACATCGACCGTTGGATGTCAGGAGGATGTTGATCTTGGACCGTCGATGATGGGGGGGATTATGTGGGTTGTGTTGGAGATTTGAAGTGGTGGTTTTCCCTAGAATGGCTTGGAGTGGAGTGTGGGACTGGGACGGGAGGGGGGTGCTACCAGGAGCTGAGACCAGGCTGAGGAGGAGAGCGAGAGGGAGAAGCTCCGGGATTGCAAAAGCGTCTGAATCTGAGAGCCCTGCAATTCCCTCCGAGCTTGTGATTCCCAGTGCGCTTCCAGCGATATTAATGACAATTTCTCGCTTCAAGGAATCCGCTAGTCTGATGAGGGTTGACAGTCCGTCATCTGGTGGTGCTGTGAAAGGATTCGGGATGCTGTGCCAGTCTTGGGTTTGCGAAACGAATTGGGTCTGAGATAGGAAGGGATTCTGGGAGAGGAGGCTGTCAGACTGGGAGCACGTCGGGCTGCTTGAAGCCAATTGGCTGGAAGAAACTTTCGGGCTGGACGGAACTTTCTTCATGTCATGAATCCCAAACGATTTTCCCATGGGATTGGCAGTTTTTGGCTTGGACCGGGCTGTCTCTTCCCCTGAAATCAGATTGTTAGCGATGATTCTTGTAGCGTCGAAGATCTGAGTGTTGGGGGGAAGCTGCTGGGATGAACCTGGACTCCACGTGTGTCCAATCACGTCGCAGAGAGCACCCACGTGGAGCCTCCCGGCTAGATCATGAAGCAGAAGCACGTGAAATAGTGGAGGCCTTGAAAAGCGTTGATCGCTCTTCCTAAGAGTAGGTATAGGCCCCAATACGATATCCTGAAAGCTTTCACACGTCAGCAAATGCGACAGATGTGACTTTGTCAAATAAAATGACAGAATCAAAGCAATGTTGACTTACCTGCAACTCCGCTTCGATTCGCCGGGACAGGTCTTCACTGAAGGAATTCGACGGGCAACACAGGACTTGGGATGCAACGTCATCTGTCCACCACACGTCCTTCACTCGCCCGCAGGTCTGGCACTGAATTCTTCTCATGAAGATAATGTGTTGGGACGATATGATTCCAAGGACGAGAATAGAGACGGTCAAGGAAAACATTCTACATGAGATGATATTCGTTCGATTACTATACCTTCACATGTGAAGCACACAGCTCTCTGTTTCCCAGATGCAACGTACCAACGATCGTGTACAACAACTCAATCAATTACCACTGTCGCTCACTCATCCTCACTCCCTTGAATATGTAGAGTTCACATGGTGCAAAAGGGCTGGATATTTTTCGTATTAATGACGCGAAGTAGACCACGCCATGGATGCGAATGAGCTGATTCGACGGTCCCAGATGGATCTTGGCAGTCCAGGCCTCCTCGACCGTCAGATTCGGAATCGGAACGGTAGTGAATCGGATCAGAAGCAAGGCACGAGATCGGATACGAGGTCTGTCCTTCTCTGGCTGAAACCCTTCTTCTTCCTTCTTTACATCCGTACCAGACAGAACGACGAGAAAATGTTCGGCAAGGAAAGTCGAAATCGATCGGACGTCCGAAAGAAGCAGAATCGCGGTTCCCAGGGACCAATCAGCGAGCTCCATGCCGTCTACAGGGACAGGAAGAATAGATTCTCCACGCGACAGTCTTTCCAGGAGACCGTTGAATTGTCCTTTGACTTGCAACCAATCCGTTAGTTTAAGAGCTGCCTGTTGCATAGTATGAAAGGACGCCATGGTTGATTCACCGGCAAAAACCTGATTAAAAAAAGTGAAGTTTGGACCAGCGTGGGATCAGCTAGCTGGTCCTCTCATGTACTCCAGTTCTCTCATGTACTCTCCAATCTCCTATCATCACCCAAATCTCGTACACCAGCAATCAGCGAGCTGGCGAAATCCAGAAATTCAAAATTCCGACTTCAAGGTTTTCTTCGGTATTCGTCCTGTGAAGAGGGGTTCGCGACGGTGTTCTCTGTGGTAGAATCTCAATGGTTCGCGAATCCCGTAGGGGTAGATGACATTTCAATGGTTTCGTGGGGGGCATTGGTGGTGTTTTGTTGCTGTAACCTTCGTGAATGGTTTTGGCGGCTAACAGAAGCTTTCGCTCTACGGCGTGCTTTGTTCGTGGTGTTACAGATCGTGTTAGCTGATGTGATGTCTTCCGCCAATCACTTTGAACTTGGGAGCCTATCAATCTCTGACATAGCAACCACGTAATTCGCGCCACAAAATCAAAGGGATCTGCGTGCTTTCCCCTTTGTTCCGCTGCCCACATCCTTCCCGAGAGCCTGTTATGGGCAGTGCAAACATTTTTGTGTGGTTGGTCATGCCTTGCCTTTATGGTGGTACCGCAGCGTGTCATGGTGGTCCGCAGCGTGTCATGGTGGTACCGCAGCGTGTCATGGTGGTCCGCAGCGTGTCATGGTGGTCCGCAGCGTGTCATGGTGGTACCCCAGCGTGTCACATGCGACTTGATGATGTCGGGCAGGCATGGGCCTGCTCTCATATTGTACAGCGTATTCAAATGTGGGAGGCTTCGAAATCCTTGACAAACCAACCACGTTATTTCCCTCCACAAAACAATGGATCTTTCCCGCTCCCCCCTTAGCGCAAATATTCCTGCGCAGACGTTGTGCCCCCGCGCAACCCTGAATTCCAGTTTCGGCTATCCATTTCAAATCCCAAAGAAAGACCCCAGCACTGGAGGGCGCATTCAAGGCTCAAATTGCACATACGGAAGATGCGGTAACCCTACGTTGGAAGACCCGACCGAACATTTGTGGCCACACTTATGACATGCAAATAAAGACTCGTAAGTCCCAGACCCGAAGTGCAGACTCGCAAGACAACCAGAAGTTTGTTACGAGCCTTTTAGAAACCCTGAATCCAAAGTTCTCCCCCCTACCACCCACCATTCACCCCATCCACCCGCCAAATACATCCCTCCCCCACCTCCATTCCCACGCCCGCGCCTCCCCCTTCCACGTCTTCAGCTTTCAAATCCTCTTTGCCCCCCGCCTTTTTCGAGTAGTTCTCAGATTCAAAGACAGCTCCTGCTTTTCCAATGGCGCCCGTCGAGCCGCCGCCTGCGGGCAGCAGCGCCATGACGTACGAGCAGCTGCGGCAGGCGAAAATGCAGGCGACGCAGCGCGCGTTCGCGGAACTGCAGAGTCTGTCGGCGGATTTAACCCAGGAGACCCGGCGGCAGGCCGGCGAGAAACAGCAGCAGCCCCGCCGGTCGTGGACGCGGCGAAAGCTCTTCGATAAAGTTCGTCGATCCGGCAGGTGATTCTTTCGCGCATTTCTACTCTTGAGGCGTCTGAAAACTTGAAGAATCTCGAAGCCTGAGAAGCGTCGCAGAAGCAGCGCAGCAGCGACACGCTCGCCGGTAGTGGACGCGGCGAAACTCTTCGCAGAAGTTCGTCAATCCAGCATGTGACTCCTTCGCGCATTTCCAAATGCGGCTTCGAGACTCATTATCGCCGCCAGTCATGAGAGCTGATTTTGCACGTACCGCGCAGAAGTACTTTGGAGCGTCTCAGAAGTTTTACCGCGCAGACTGCCTGATTCTAATAAGTTTTGACAACGCCGTCCGTTGCTTGGACTTCAACTGAGCGGTGAAGGGTTTCCCTCCTCCCTTCTCGCCCCTTTCCCTCCTCACCAGGCTCCAGACCTCCCCCGCTGCCCAATATTACGAGCTAGAGGGGAGAGCACAGCAGCACAGCACTGAACACCTCTGCCCTGTCTTGCCCCTTCCGCCCTCCTACCCACTCTCCCCCTTCGTTTCCCCCACTTTCTCCCCCGCGTCCCTTTCTCCAGACTCCAAAACTCCCCTGCTACCCAATACCTTGAACTGGACGACAGAACGCCAGAGCGCAGCACTGAACCGCTCTGCCTTGTCTTCTGCCTTCTGTCTACCTTATCACTGTCCTTCCCCCATCGCCCCTCGCCCCTCTCACCAGGCCCAGAACTCCCCTGGTACCCAGTACCTGGAACTGGACGCGAGAACGACAGAGCGCAGCACTGAACCTCCCGTCCGTCTTCCCCCTTCCGCCCTCTCCCTCCGCGCCCCTTTCTCCAGGCTTCGAAACTCGCCTGCTACCCAATACCTCGAACTGGACGAGAGAACGCCAGACCGCAGCACTGAACACCCCCCCATCTTCCCCCTTCCGCCCTCCTCCCCTCTCTCCCAACCCCACCTTGTCCCCTCCCCCTTCCACCACCCCCCCCCCGCACCCCTCTCTCCAGGCTTCAAAACGCCCCTGCTACCCAATACCTCGAACTGGACGACAGAACGCCAGAGTGCAGCACCGCACGAATCTCTGCCGGTCGCCGAACCTGGCAGCTTCGGTCTATGGGCTCGTCGGCAGGCTCGGCCGAGGCTGGGATGGTGGTTCGGTGCGGGAAGGAGGTGTACACTGAGGAAGACCTGAGGAAGCTTCGTGGGCATGTGAAGCCTTATGGTATCAACGTTGAGCGATACAAGAACAGGGTCTATGACCCTGTGAATGGGAAGTCCTGTCACCAATGCAGGTACTGATTAATAGGGGTCTAGTGGGATAGTGAGTTTAGTGTGATGGTGACTGTAAGAAGCCGTATGACATCAGCGTTGAGCGATACAATAACAGGGTCTATGACTCTGTGAATGGGAAGACTTGTCACCAATGCAGGTATGGATTAAGAATGGAGGATCATGGAATGGACGCCATATGACGTCAGCATTGAGTGGTTGAAGACGAGGGTGTATGACCCTGTGAATGGGAAGTCGTGTCACCAATGCAAGTAACCGGATCAGGAATGGAGGATCATGGAATGAAAGCCGTATGACATCAGCATTGAGTGGCTGAAGACGAGGGTGTATTACCCTGAAAATGGGAAGACGTGCCACCAATGCAGGTATGGAACAAGAATCGGGACTTTTTCAATGCTGATTTTGAGTTGACTTAGAAAACAAGACGAGGGTCTATGACCTTGTTAATGGGAAGACGTGTCACCAATGCAGGTATTGATTACTTGACAAGGACGGATTGGTTTAAGAAAATTGTTTGAGTCCACTCAAATTAGACCCTGCAAATGGGACGACGTGTCGCCAGTGTAGGTATTGTGCAGGTATGGACATGGTACCGTTAGAAGTCTTCCTTCGTTTGACTTTTGAGTCGACTCAAAAGTCACCCTGCAGGTAATGATTGGAAATGGTACCGTGAGGAGTCTTCCTTCGTGTCACTTCGCCTGGTTTCCTCCCCTGTGCTCCCCCTCCTCTGCTGAACTCCCTCTCCACAGGCAGAAGACGCTGGGGCTGCGAGCTGAGTGTGTGCAGCTTACGAGGAGGAACGCTCAGGTCCATCTTGCCTGCTCACCGCATCCCTCCTCCTCTGCACCTCCCCCTTTCCTTACAGGCAAAAGACGCTGGGCCTGCGCACTGAGTGTGCGGCGTGCAAGGATCGCTCAGTGTGCGGGCAGTTCTGCGGGGACTGCCTGTTTTTGAGGTGAGCACGAAAGGATACTATGTTGAAGGAATTGCATGAGGTGAGAGGTGTGTGTGGGAGTTCTTGGGGGGCTGCAATGTCTGCTCGTGAGTCAAGGATGTGTTGTGACTGTAGGCAGATAAGGTGCAGTTCTGTGTGCGGGCACTTCTGCGGAATTGCCTGCTTGTGTGGTGAAGTGAGACAATCTAGCGGAGACTGTGTGAGGTGAGAATATGCGAGGTAAGAGTATGATGTGACTAATTCAGATGAGATGATATGAGCTGAGATGATATGAGCTGAGATGATATGAGCTGAGATGATCTGAGCTGAGATTATATGAGCTGAGATTATATGAGCTGAGATTATATGAGCTGAGATTATATGAGCTGAGATTATATGGGGAGAACATAGAGGAGGCGCTAGCTAGCCGACCCTGCATGAGAATGCTCTTAGTGTGTCTAGACCAAGCAGTGTAACCCTCTCTTTCTGTCTCCCACACTCTCTCCCTTCCCTTCAGGTACGGCGAGAATATAGAGGAGGCGCTAGCAGACCCGAAGTGGGAGTGCCCACTGTGTCGGGACCAAGTGGTGACTCCCTCCCCTTCCTTCTCTCACATTCCATCCGTCACTCTCTGCCTTCCTTCAGATACGGCAAGAATATAGAGGAGGCACTAGCAGACCCGCAGTGGGAGTGCCCTGTGTGTCGGGACCAAGCAGTGTCTCCCTTTCTTTCCTTCTCTCACACTTTCTCGCGTCACTCTCTTTCTCCTTCACTCTCTCTCTCTCTCCCTTCACTCTCTGCCTTCCTTCAGATACGGTGAGAACATAGAGGAGGCACTAGCAGACCCGGAGTGGGAGTGCCCACTGTGTCGGGACCAAGTGGTGACTCCCTCCCCTTCCTTCTCTCACATTCCATCCGTCACTCTCTGCCTTCCTTCAGATACGGCGAGAATATAGAGGAGGCACTAGCAGACCCGCAGTGGGAGTGCCCTGTGTGTTGGGACCAAGCAGTGTCTCCCATTCTTTCCTTCTCTCACACTTTCTCGCTTCACTCTCTTTCTCCTTCACTCTCTCTCTCTCTCTCCCTTCACTCTCTGCCTTCCTTCAGATACGGTGAGAACATAGAGGAGGCACTAGCAGACCCGGAGTGGGAGTGCCCGGTGTGTCGGGACATCTGCAACTGCTCCATCTGCAGGAACCGCAAGGGGTGGGGACCCACTGGACAGCTCTTTCACAAGGTAACATTTGATCCACAACCGTCTGGTGGTCATACAGTGGTCTGGCCACACAACAACGGTGAGCATTGAGTCAACTGCAAGGGATGGGGACCCACCCGACCCGTTTTCCATAAGGTATCGCTACGGTTGGCAACTGTACAGCCTTCTGGTAATGCGACACGTGGTAGTGCCACAGCCTTCTAGTAATGCGACACGTGGTAGTGCCACAGCCTTCTAGTAATGCGACACGTGGTAGTGCCACAGCCTTCTAGTAATGCGACACGCCACAGCCTTCTAGTATTGCGACACGTGGTAGTGCCACAGCCTTCTAGTAATGCGACACGTGGTAGTGCCACAGCCTTCTAGTAATGCGACACGTGGTAGTGCCACAGCCTTCTAGTAATGCGACACTTGGTAGTGCCACAGCCTTCTAGTAATGCGACACGTGGTAGTGCCACAGCCTTCTAGTAATGGGACACGTGGTAGTGCCACAGCCTTCTAGTAATGCGACACGTGGTAGCGCCACAGCCTTCTAGTAATGCGACACGTGGTAGTGCCACAGCCTTCTGGTAATGCGACACGTGGTAGTGCCACAGCCTTCTAGTAATGCGACACTTGGTAGTGCCACAGCCTTCTCGTAATGCGACACTTGGTAGTGCCACAGCCTTCTAGTAATGCGACACTTGGTAGTGCCACAGCCTTCTAGTAATGCGACACTTGGTAGTGCCACAGCCTTCTTGTAACGCTGCAACCTAGCATTTCAGCTCAGAAGCGCTCATGTCTCATCTATGTTGTTTCTGTAACCCCCCCACTCCCCACCCCCACACTGTTCGCGTATTTCCCTCCCTCGTTGAAGGTGTGGGGCACGGTTACCAGTCGGTAGCGCACTATCTCCTCTTTCATCCTCCCGTATCTCATGCTGCTCACGAGAATGGCATATGACCATTGCAGGTGTGGGGCAACGGTCATATGTCTCATCTATGTTCGAGAATGGCATATGACCGTTGCCCCATCATCCCCTCTTCCATCCTCCCGTTCCTCCTTCCTCCTCCTGTAATCCCGTCCCTCCTTGCTCCTCATTCTCTCTCTGCAGGTGTGGGGTGCGGGCTACCAGTCCGTTGCACACTACCTCATGCTCACACGTATGGCCAAAGGGGGAGAGAACACAGGGGAGCGGACGGATGGGGATGAGGTGGAGGAGGGGAATGGGAGTGAGGAGGTGGGGGGAGCGGAGGGAGGGAGTGAGGGAGCGGGAGGAGAGAGTGAGGAGGGAGATGAGGAGGAAGGGAGTGAGGAGGAGGGGGAACGGGAGAGGAGTGAGATCACATTGATAGAAGAGTGTAAGGATGGGAATGAGAAGTCGCGGACGAGAAAGAGAAAGGGCGGGGTTGAGAGGAGTGCCATGGAGACGAGAGGAGGGAAACAGGGACTCGGGAGGAAGAAGAAGTGTGTGATCAGAAAGGGAGAGGAGGAGGAAGAAGATGTTGTGGAGGTTCAGGTGTGCAGAACGGTGGTGCAAGTGAAAGAGGAGAGGGAGGAGGGAGAGATGGGGGGAGGTTTGGAGATTGAGTGGACCAAGATGAGAGCAGTGAAGGAGGAGGAAAAGAAGGAGCAGGAGGAGGTGGAGGAGGTGGAGGAGGAGGAGGAGGTGGAGAGAAAAGAGGAAGAAGGGCTAAGGCGGACAGGGCAGGTGAAAGTCAAGACGGAAAATACACCAACGGCACGTGGGAAAGAGGCATTTGGCGGTTGTGGTACGAGTAAATGGTGCATCAAGAAAGGTTCACTTGTTGAGATAGCCACCACAGGAGCAGGTGCAGGGAGCGAGGTGAAGAGAGAAGAAAGTGAGGTGAAACGAGAAAGTGGGATATTGACAAGGAGGGCTGCGGCAAGACTGGAAGCAGAAGCTGCCAAGTGCAGGGCTGCTGATGCCCGGGTTTTGCGGTCTCGCATCATCCATTCGCCACGGACAGGCGGAGCAGCAGGAGCATGCAGAGCAGGAGCGGGTGGAGCAGGAGCAGCAGCGGGGAGAGCAGGAGTGGCAGCCGGAGGGCCTTACAAGCGAAGCGGTACAAAGTCGGGCCTTGAGACAGTTGTGAGGAGCGCTGTAAAGGGGATAGGCAAAGGGGGAAGCAGAGAGGAAGTGGAAGAGGATAAGGTACAGTTGAGGCATCTCCAAAAGGACGAGGAGTATGATAGTGATGATGATGTGATCGAAGTGGTGGTTGCTAGGACAGTTTAGAAACTGAGAGGCAGAGAGGGGCAGAGAGGCAGAGAGGAAGCTGAAGATACGGCTTGTTGGAGGCATCTCCAGAAGGAAGAGGAGGATAGCGACGACGATGCTGTCTAAGTGGTGGTTGCTATGACAATTTAGGGATATGTGCAGTTAGCGAGAGTTTGAATGTAATGATTGAGTGGGTGTAGTAAGTGGGAGAGTGAGTGGGAGAGTGGGCGGGAGAGTGAGTGGAAGAGTGAGTGGGGTAGTGAGCATAGGGTCAGTGCCAGTGGTCATGGGCCCACTGGCTTACAAACTTTTACATTGATTCATCTAGTGCATGCTCAATGGTACCGTAGCGTGGCCTTTCCTGGCCCATTCTTTCGGCAGACTCTCGTTTATGCTGCAGGGAGGAGAAGCCCAGTCTGTGGCTGCAAGGGAGACCTCAAACGACAAGGCCAATGGAGTAGAGTAGCGGTGAGGCTGTAGGAGAATCAGCCCACGGGATTAGTAGCACGCAGTGAAAGTGAAGTGGATACTGCATAGAGTGGTGTATCAGATCGCATAGAGTGGTGTATGTTTCTGTGGATACGTATATGGCTCCAAATACCGGTACATGGATGTATGTTTCTGTGGATATATGGCTCCAAATAATCGGATATGAAATTTCTGGGTTCCCATTTATGGCATTTACCGGTACCGTAATCACAATCAGCACAATAACCGGGCCTGATTTGGTAGGACAGCGTCAACTCAATAACGAATCCTGATTCTAGCCAACTCAACAGTCTACTAGTGGGGCTTGGCCTCACAGTCACTGCAAGGGTGGAGTCAAATGTGCGGCAGAGCAGGGAATTGGCGTTCTGAAGGGCGATGGGGCGAGGGCGGAGGGGAGAGGACGAGGAGGAGGAGGGAGCAGTGGCATGGTGGCTCGAAGCAGGCTTGTTGGCAGCTTCCATGAACTTTCCCAGCCCCCATGCTGTCTCGTTGCTGACTCCCACATACCGCACTTTCCCTGGGATGGGGAGAAGTGGAGGGCGATGAAGGAAAAGTGGGTGGAGGTGTGTTCAAGGATCTTAGTAGCTTCAAACACAGCAGGGGGAAGAGCGGGAAAGTGGAAGTTAGTGGGTCAAACACAGGTCATGCAAATGCAGTTGAAATCCTGCTTTGGAATCAAGACGCAAACCCAAACCCAACTCCTGCTTGATTTCCGAGACCATCAGACCCACCTGCTTCCACTGCTCTCCCCAGCGCCTCCAGCTGTGCTTCAAACGAGCTGTACTCGTTATAGTCACACCGGGGGTCAAACTCCCAGTCTCCAAACATGGGCACATAGCGATCCGGCCAATGCAGTTGCAGCAGGTCGATATAGTCACACTGCAGGCGCTGCAGACTGGAGTCTATAGCGGATGTGATGTTAACGGGGTCTAGGGCACAAGGGCCCCCTCTTATCCACGTCATCTGAGAAGACGGGCCCGCCACCTGAGAGAACCCTGAAAGGGGACGAAGGGGGGAGAGAGAAGCCATATTACCGGGGTGTAGGGCACACGGCCCCCCTCTTATCCACGTCATCTGAGCAGATGGGCCTGCCACCTGAGAGATTTCTGAAGGGGGAGGGAGGGGGGAGGAAGGAGGGGGAAGGGAGAGAGGATGAGAGGGGGAGGGAGAGGGGGGAAGAGCGTAAAGGAGAGGGGGAAAGAGAGGAGGAGGTAGGAGGGAGAAAGAGAGGGAGAAGAGGAGAACGAGAGAGGAGTAAGGGGTCAACATTCGATACGCAAAGCAAAACAATGTAAGAAAGGCCGCTGGTGCTGGGAAGCCAAAGTAAGGACATGCTTTTGAGTTGTACTTGGAGCCAATAAAAAGCATGCTTTTGGTTTTTTAGGCGCCTCAAAAGTCGTCTCCTTTCTCGAGGTTTTTATGTGGGGAGAATGCAATTGCATGGAAGTCAAGAAGACTGTAAGGACATGTTTGAGAGTTGTACTTGGATTGGAGCCAATCAAGCCCTTGGTGACGCTTTGTTTTCTGCACTTCGTCTAACCGCATGATCGCAAGGGGTATCCGAAACACCGCCGGAAATATGTGCAGCCGATAGTGCATCGGCTATACAGTTACCGTCGTTGTCAAACAAGAAAAAGAAGAGGAAGAAAAACAATGATTCTATTACGCGTTATAAGCACGCGTACCTCAGAGCTTCTCCGAACTGCATGGTGCCGAGGCAAATCCGCGACACCACCAGGTCCGACGCGCCGAGCCGATTGTACTGCATCGACCGTACAGTAACTCTCCCTTTTCTACAATCACGCTCTTTCTTCATTAGAGTCACATCGGCTTTCCGTGACAGTGCATTCAAGTGGTGACAGCCGAGGAGCAACCGAGGCTCGTTCGCTGCTGTAGCGGGAAGCAAGGAGACGTTGCGCAGAAAAGAAGGAATCCCAGGCGCCGTCGACATTTGGGATGGCTACTATGCTCGAGCGCGAAGCTGAGGAGAATCTAGGAACAGCTAAAACTTGGCATTTGAGCAGCTTCAGGCTTATCATGCACTCAGAACATTTGTACTGAATTCATCGAAACAATGGTAACAACTCTGATAAAAACAACTCCTCTATCCTTTTCTCTCTATCCTCTTTCCATCTCCCACCAACTTCGATATAAACGACCATGACTAGTATGTACGTAGATGGAACATTCTGGCGTGTGACTTACCCAGCCAAAAAAAAAAAAAAAAAAAAAAAAAAAAAAACAACTCCTCTGGTCAAAACAACTCCTCTGATCAAAACAAATTGAGACACTTAGGGAAGGAAAATGGATTGATGAAGCTAGAAAATGGGAATCAACTTTGTTATAGGACACTCCGTTTTGAGAATCTGCACAAATACATTTGGTTTAATGTACAAAAGCTACACTGACCAAGGTACACTTTCTCAAATCCTTCTAAAATCTCCTAGATTCACAGCTGTTCCCTTGACACCGGGCACACCAAAAGAGGCTTTTGCTTGTGCAATCTGTATCGTTCCGGGCGAGTGAACCTCAGAAACTCTGCGCCGTGCCACCCAGTTACCAACCACAGTAACCCTCGTAAGCGGTCCCTCTCCAGCCTCAGCTTTGTTTCCTCTTCAATTTCGTCAACCTCCCCTTCAACCTCCCATTCCTCTTCCCCTTCCCCTCCCTTAGCACCCTCAACCGTTGCTGCTAATGCCCTGTCTTCTTGTTTACTCGGAAGCGTTACTGTAGAGAACGCGATCCCATGCGTCTGAAGCACAATCTTCGCCATCATAGCCGCACGCGGCATGTGGAAATCCGACGTAACCACAAGCACATGCGTGATTTTCAACCGTTGAAACGTGCGTAACATTGTCGTGAAGTTGGTAACCGTGTCCAGTGCGTGGTTATCCACCCGTAACCGTCCAGCAGCCACCCCCTCCCTCATCATGACGTCAGCAGCGTCGTCGTTCCCCGACGAGATGAACACCGGAAGCTTCCCGGATGCTGCGGCGTGCGCGGGAGGGAGGGGGTCGAGTGTGCCGTTGGCTAGAGGATTGGGAGAGGAGGTGACGATGGGATCAAACGCAAGGCATGCAGCAGCAGCAGCATTGCTACCACTAGCAGCGGCACTGCTACTATCACCACCACCACTGCCGCTGCTGCTGATAAAGTCCCTATTGCCAGTGCTTTTATCCTGAGTCAACCCAGAGTTACTGCTGCTGCTGCTGGCACTGCTCAAATTCCCAGTCACGGGCTGGTATGGGGCAGCCAGCAGGGCTGCGAATCTCCCAGCCAGTCGTTCCCTGTAGCGATTCCCTCCTAGCACGAGAATGGCCTGGATGAGATAGCGTGAAGAAATAACAGAGGAGATAGTGAGACGAGGAAATGGAGGAGCGGAGAGAGTGGAGACGAGGAAACGGCGGTAGTGGGGAGACAGTGAGAAGAAAGAGATAATGGAAGTGGACGGGGAACGCGGGCCAGCGAGGAGCGCAGTAAGACGTCATTCCCTCGTCTCCACGCAGTGGGATATGCAAGACGTATCTCCTAAGTAAGCACCTGCCTCGAGCCACCATGCGTCACCTGGCGACCGACAAGAAGCTGAAGCTTTCTGAGCGAGTTAAAGACTTGTCCGCACATGGCGACGAGCCGCCATGCAATGCCGATGCGACTGCGAGGGAACTCGAGGCAGGTGACGCAAAAGACATCTACGGCGCGCCGCGGGCCCACCCCGCGGGCCCGCGCCCGTAGATGACTTTTGCGTCACCGCCCGCACCGCGGGCTGAAGATGACGACGGACTAGCGGAGGACGCAGCGCGCGCGGGCTAACCGCGTACCTGCGGAGGATGCAGCGCGTGGGTGCGCGACGCGGAGAGACCCCGAAGGATGCGGAGAGTGAGCGAGAAGGCGGACGCGAAGGCGATCGACGCCGCTGTGCCGATCAACGGCCACAGCCATCCCGCCGAGGCGCCCGATGCCGACGCGGGCGACGGGGACCGCGCCGTCACTGCCGCCGCCACAACCGCCATGCGGAAGATCCTCCTCAGCAAAAAGCGGATAAAATCCACCTCAACAGAATAGAATCCAAATCAGACTCCCTCAGAACAGTAAAATTTGCTCAGCGGATTAGACGATTTTCTTGAAACTATCCCTGGACTCGACGGTGGCCAGTGACCGCGCGAGAGTTCGAGTCTTGGCTCGACCGTGGGTGGGTTCTCAGTGAATCTAAACTGCTCGTCGGTGGAGAATCGAGAGGCTAGGCAGGGGACGGTGGTGAATTTGGGAGGGACATCGACGACGTATCGTGCTTCACGGACTGACGTACGGTGTCGATTGAGAAGGCGAGGTGGAGGAAATGGTGGTGGAAGGGGGGAGGCAGGGAGAGTTGAGAAGGTAATGCGCCGGTTGTAGAGGTCTTCGGTAATAAGATCATGACGTAACAAGACATTGTGTACGACAAAGGAATGTCCTTAACTCAGCATATTCTGCACAGTACAAACCAGTGAGCGTTTATGTATCTGCTATAAATATGAACAATACACAAACAAGCTAACAAAACACATATATGAACCAAAATAATCATTACCATCATAAAAATACCAGTTCGATCAAGCATGTAGTGTCTAAGACAGCACAACAAGGCGGTCGCCAGCACGCCACACCACAGGCTTGTTCTTATCCTGGGGATTCAGCTGCCATTTGCCCCCGTTATTAGCACAGTTGTATGCAATCATCAGCTTCCGCCGGCGCAAAACCCGACTCTGCAATTCATGAAAGGTGGAAGGCAATACACGATGAAGGGAATACTCAGTTTTGTTTTTGGGTAGAGGGGTGAGCATCTAAACAACTTCGAAAATCACCTAGATGAACGGATCACAATTGGGTAAAAAGGCATGCGACGCCTACGAGAAAACAAACGGTGTGCGTGCATGTGTGTGTGTGCACGTGCGCGGAAAGCTCGGCCATGCCGGCAATGAGGAAGAGAGAGTGAGAGTGAGAGTGAGAGTGAGATTGAGAGTGAGAGTGAGAGTGAGAGTGAGAGTGAGAGTGAGAGTGAGAGTGAGAGTGAAGGAAGGGAGCAACGCACCTGGAGGTCGAAGAAAGAGAGTGCTTCTCCATCCACGAGGAAGGAGGTGGCATCTTCCAGCGAGAGCGATGAGCCCGACCCGCTCACGATCTCGTCCAATACGCCGCCGACATCTGGCATGGCAGGTGATGGGTTTGAGGTTTGAGACACCGGTGGGGATGGGAGTGAATTTTGAGATGTCTAAAAACTTGAGAGCGACGAGCCCGACCCGCTCACGATCTCGTCCAATACGCCGCCGACATCTGGCACAGCAGGGGATGGGTGGGTTTGCACATTGAGACGCCGGCAGGGGATGCTTGTGTGTTTTGAGACGCCTCAAGCCCCGAGAGTGATAAGCCGGACCCCCTCACGATCTCGTCCAATGCGCCGCCGACATCTGGCGCTGCAGGGGATGGGTTCAACATGAGTGCTTGCGGTTTGGAGATGGAGTCCTGGGTATGGGCCTGGACTTACATGTGCGCATGAGTGCGCATGAGTGCGCATGAGTGCGCATGAGTGCGCATGAGTGCGCATGAGTGCGCATGAGTGCGCATGAGTGCGCATGAGTGCGCATGAGTGCGCATGAGTGCGCATGAGTGCACATGAGTGCGCATGAGTGCACATGAGTGCGCATGAGTGCACATGAGTGCACATGAGTGCACATGAGGGCACGAGCGCACGAGCACATGCATGCTATGAAGATTGGAGATGGAGTCATGGGTACGGGGCTGGTAATACATGCACGCATGTGCGCATACATGCATGTGAGCATGTGCGCATGAGCGCATGAGCGCATACATGAATGTATGCATTTAGTACGTATGCTATTGCACTGTGCTTTGACAATGCAAATGGGCAAACAGAGAGACCGCTGCCACCGCACCCAACTGGTGCCACCGTGCCACCACTGCCACTCAACTTGTAGCCTCATGCAGACACAGTCACATACTTGCATGTGCACCCACCCAGGTGTGCTTGAAGTCAACTCAAAACACACATGCATTCTTACTGAAAATGAACGAACGAGCAGACAGAGAGACCGCTGCCACCGCACCCAACTGGTGCCACCGTGCCACCACTGCCAGTCAACTTGTAGCCTCATGCAGATACTGGCAGTGGTCCCACCACTGCCCCACATACTTGCATGTGCACCCACCCGCCCACCCTCCAACCCACCCACCTGGGTGCCACCGTGCCACGACTGCCACTCAACTTGTAGCCTCATGCAGACACTGGCAGTGGTCCCACCACTGCCCCACATACTTGTTTTGAGTCGACTCAAAACACAACTGGTGCCACCGTGCCACCACTGCCAGTCAACTTGTAGCCTCACGCAGATACTGGAAGCGGTCCCACCACTGCCCCACATACTTGCATGTGCACCCACCCGCCCACCCACCCACGCTCCCACCCATCCACCCACCTGGGTGCATAGCAGTCTGAGCCATGTGTTGAGTCGACTCAAAACCCACCTGGGTCCATTCACACATCAGCAGCAGCACCCACCCACCCACCTGGGTCCATGGCAGTTTGAGCCAGAATCCGCGCATGCACCACAATCGTATCCAAGCTATCAGTCAACCGCCTCTCCCGCACCTCCTCCATCATATCCCCCTCCACCACCACCCTTCCCAACACTGCTTCATTCATTCACACATCAGCAGCAGCACCCACCCACCCACCCACCTGGGTCCATGGCAGTTTGAGCCAGAATCCTTGCATGGCCCCGCTCCCCTCCCCTCATAACCACCACTAGCATGCCTGCTTCACCGCACCTGCTGCACCCACCCACCCACCTGGGTCCATGGCAGTTTGAGCCAGAATCCTCGCATGCACGACATTTGTATCCAAGCTATCAGTCAACCACCTCCCCCGCACCTCCTCCATCAAATCCCCATCCACCACCGCCGCAGCCCCCGCCCCTCCCTCCCCCTCCCCTTCCCCCTCTCCTCCCCCCTCCTCCCCTCCCTCTCCCCTCCCCTCCACCGCCAAATCACTCTCTGCAAGCACTGTTGCTGTCGCCTGTCCCCGCTCCCTCTGAATCGTCCGGATCATCATAGCAGTGACTGAAGCAGACGGCATGAGCACTCCCTCTCCCCCCTCACCCCCCCCACCACTACCGCCCCTGCTGCTGGTACCCTCCCCTCGCTCCGCTCCGCCTTCGTCGTCGCGCATTTGCTGCTGCGGCTGGTCGGGGGGTGACTTGTGGTGCGAGCGCGGGGCGAGCACGATCACAGTGTCAAAGGCTTCCAGAGGAACCTTTTCTAGATCGGCCATTGAGCCCAGATGCCCGTGGTCTGAGCGTGCAGGGGAGGGGGTGGGGGAAGGGGGGTGAGAAGAGAACACATTGGGGGTGGTGTGAGTGAGGGGCGAGCACGATAACAGAGTCAAAGGCCTCCAGAGGCACCTTTTCCAAATCGGCCATTGAGCCCAGATGCCCGTGGTCTGTCATGGGGGGGGGAAGGGGAGGGGAGAGATGGGAGAAGGGAGAAATGGGGAAGCAGGAAGTGGAACGTGGGTTCAGTGGTGGTGCTCCTGGTCGGGGGGTGACTGGTGGTGCGAGCGGGCCGCGAGCACGATCACAGTGTCAAAGGCTTCCAGAGGAACCTTTTCTAGATCGGCCATTGAGCCCAGATGCCCGTGGTCTGAGCGTGCAGGGGAGGGGGTGGGGGAATGGGGGGGAGAAGAGAACACATTGGGGGTGGTGTGAGCGAGGGGCGAGAACGATGACAGTGTCAAAGGCCTCTAGAGGCACCTTTTCCAAATCGGCCATTGAGCCCAGGTGCCCGTGGTCTGGCATGGGGGGAGAAACGTAGAGGGAGAATGGAAGGCTGTAGGGAGTGAGGGGCGAGTACGATGACAGTGTCAAAGGCCTCTAGAGGTACCCTCTCCAAATCGGCCATGCAGCCCAGGTGCCCGTGGTCTGGCATGGGGGGGAAAGGGGGGAGAGAAACGTGGAAACAGGAAAGGGGAATGTGGGTTCAGGGTGGTGCTGCTAGTCGGGGGGGCGAGCACGATGACAGTGTCAAAGGCCTTCAGAGGAACCTTTTCCAAATCGGCCATGCAGCCCAGGTGCCCGTGGTCTGGCGTGCAAGGGAGGAAGGGAAATGGGATCGGGGGAAAGGGGAAGGAGAGTGTGGGGATTGTGTTGCTGGTTGGGGAGTGACTGGTGGTGAGAACGAGGGGCGAGTACGATAACAGTGTTAAAGGCTTCTAGAGGAACCTTTTCCAAATCGGCCATTGAGCCCAGACCAGATGCCTGTGGTCTGGCAGGAGAAGGTGGGGGGGGAGATGAAGGGAGAAGCGTGGAAACAGGAAGGGGAATGTGGGAGAGTTTGTGCTGGCATCTGCAGAACCGCTCACATCACACAGTAATTTTTTAGGCGTCTCATAAAATGTTCAGAACCACTCACACAGTGACAGGTTGAGGTTGAGGCTGCCTGATTTCATGAAGGGGTTGAGCCGCTGCTGTGCTGCTGAGAGGGAAGGAGAGTCGACCATTACTGCCACCTGACTGCCTGCTCGGTGGATAGAGGGGAGAGAGGGGACAGGGAGTGTGGAAGAGAAGGGAAGCTCGAGATGACGGGACAAGGCGTGTGGAAGGGGGAGAGGGAAGGCGAGTCAACCATGACCGCCACCTGACTGCCTGCTTGGTGGCGAGAGGGGAGAGAGGAGGACAGGGAGTGTGGAAGAGAAGCAGGAGATGATAGGAAAAAACGTGTGGAATGGGGAGAGGGAAGGAGAGTTGACCATTTCCGAAGCCACCTGACTGACTGCTTGGTGGCGAGAGAGAGTAGGGAGGGGGAGGGAGTGGGTGGAGAGAGGAGAGAATGAACGAACCTCCCAGATCTCGTATCTATTACAGAATGAACAAGAGAATAGGTTAAGGTTGCACAGTGTGGCTGTACTGAACGTGTGACTGTGTTGAAAGTGTGACTGTTGAAGATGTGACTATTGATTTGCAACTCACGGGGAGCCAGCTTGGAACCGAGCAGCAGGAGGGCCTCTGCCACGTCATCCCTCCATTCGCCCGCGATCAGCACGTTGTGGCGGCGCCGCACGTTGCCACGTGGCAGGCTGTCGTAGTGCCACGGCGTTGCGAAGGAAGCCAGCCGCTTCTCCGCCAGCTCGTGCTCCTTTGCTGACTCCGCGGTCGGCTTACGTGGCGCGTAGCTGTCTGCTGACTCAGCGATGACCAGCAGACGGTCCCCGGGCTGATGTGGCATGGACAGGAGGTTAGGAAAGGATGGAAGGAAGAGGGAGTGGGGGCGAGAGGTGGGGAAAGGGAGGGTGATGAGGGAGGGCGGAAAATATTGAGGGGGGGAATAAAGCAAACAGAGAGCAAGAAAGCGAGACAAGGGAAGGACGAAAGGGATACGGATGGAGAAAAGGGATAGACACGGCATGCATGCACCAGAAGCAAGGAAAAGGAGCCTATAATATGAATGAGTCATCACGACATGGCGTGCAGATAAGCAACGTATCACTCACTATTACCCAGCCAGGTTTTCAAACTGATGTATTCACACCACTACCTCCTTTCAATCAATCAACACATTCACCTCAATCACAGTGTCACCAGGTGGGTTGATGAGCGTCCGCTCATCCTCCGTGCCCACCATCTGCTGACCACTCCCCTCCACCCCCTTCAATCTCATCTCACTCCCTTTTATCTCACTCCCTTAAGAGCACGCTCACCTCAATCACAGTATCGCCAGGGGGGTTGATGAGTGTTCTCTCATCCTCCGTGCCCACCATCTGCCGACCACTCCAGTCCCCACCATCCCTTTCAATCTCATCTCACTCCCTTTTATCACACTCCCTTTAAAGCACGCTCACCTCAATCACAGTATCGCCAGGGGGGTTAATGATCGTCCTCCTCGTCCTCCGTACCAATCATCTGCTGCACGCTGCACGGCACACTCCCTTCCATCACGCTTCCATCCACCCAGTCTCACTCCCTTGCCCTCACACTCACTCCCCCACTCACCTCTATAACAGTGTCGCCAGGGGGGTTGATGAGCGTCCTCTCGTCCTCCGTGCCCACCATCTGCTGCCCACTCCCCTCCATCCCCTTCAATCTCATCTCAATCCCTTTAATCTCACTCCCTTAAAAGCACACTCACATTTATAACGGTGTCGCCAGGGGGGTTGATGGGCGTCCTCTCATCCTCCTACTCACCATCAGCTGCACTCCACACGGCACACTCCCTCCCTTCCACCACTCTTCCATCATCCAATCTCACTCCCTTAAACTCAAACTCACTCCCTTTTAATCACGCTCACCTCAATCACGGTGTCACCTGGAGGGTTGATAAGTGTCCTCTCATCCTCCGTGCCCACCATCTGCCGACCACTCCACTCCAGTCCCCCCACCATCCCTTTCAATCTCATCTCACTCCCTATTATCACACTCCCTTTAAAGCACGCTCACCTCTATAACAGTGTCGCCAGGGGGGTTGATGAGCGTCCTCTCGTCCTCCGTGCCCACCATCTGCTGCACGCCACATGGCACATTCCATCCACCACACTTCAATCATTACGCTCACCTCAATCACAGTGTCACCAGGCGGGTTGATGAGCGTCCGTTCATCCTCAGTCCCAACCATCTGCTGCACGCCACACGGCACCGCTTCTTCAAACAGAAACACAGCCTCGGCAAAGGTGCGACCCTCAAGCTCCTTCCTGTAGGGTAGGAGGGCAATGAGGGAGGGGGATGTGAGGGAGGGAAGCTCTGCTCAGCCCACGGCAGGGAAGAGATTGGTGCTGGGCGGTGGCTGGCTGCCTGTGAGGGGGAGTGGGGGGGTTCCTGTGCTGGCAAGCAGGCAGGCAAACCGAAACACCGCAATCTGCTGCAATGACAACCCACACAGCACCGCGTCCTCAAACCGAAACACCGCCTCTGCGAAGGTACACGCTGCATGGAGGAAGGAGCTCTTTCCTGCAATAAAAGGAACAACATGAACACGCACCCCACACAAAACAACACCTTGAAGCTTTAGCATACCAGTTCCCATTCTCACCATTCCTTACAGTGAAACTCAGCCCCCTTGAGCCTCAGCAGCTCAGCAGCAACAGCAGAACCAGCCGGCTGTAGAGCCAGGCCGGCTGTAGAGCCAGGCCGGCTGTAGAGCCAGGCCGGCTGTAGAGCCAGGCCAGCTGTAGAGCCAGGCCGGCTGTAGAGCCAGGCCGGCTGTAGAGCCAGGCCGGCTGTAGAGCCAGGCCGGCTGTAGAGCCAGGCCGGCTGTAGAGCCAGGCCGGCTGTAGAGCCAGGCCGGCTGTAGAGCCAGGCCGGCTGTAGAGCCAGGCCGGCTGTAGAGCCAGGCCGGCTGTAGAGCCAGGCCGGCTGTAGAGCCAGGCCGGCTGTAGAGCCAGGCCGGCTGTAGAGCCAGGCCGGCTGTAGAGCCAGGCCGGCTGTAGAGCCAGGCCGACTGTAGAGCCAGGCTGGCTGTAGAGCCAGGCCGGCTGTAGCGCAAGGGCCAACAGTCACCATCCTCACCATTCCTTGAAGTGAAACTCGGCTCCCTTAAATCGCAGCAGTTCCGCTGCTACAGCAGAGCCAGCCGGCTGTAGCGCCAGGTCCACCAGCCGCCTCAGAGCCATGCCGCAAGTCTCCACAGGCACCAGCTTGCGCCGCCTCTGCCCCGCAGAAGAAGACAAACCACGCGAGGCGGTCCTGGCTTGGCCGGTAGTAGTGGAGGCAGCAGCTGCAGTGCTTTCGTTGGTGGTGGGGATGGAAGAGGAGGGGGTTGTTGTGCTTGTGACAGCACCAGCGGCACCAGTAGCATCAGTGGCAGAGGTGGCAGTAGCAGCGGAGGGAGATGGTGCAGTGGTGATGGCTGTGGCTGCTGATCCGGCATGGGTGACAAGGCGAGCAGCCTCGGCTGATGACCTGAAGAGAAATGGAATGGGGATGGGGATGGGGATATCAAGTAAGTGCAGAGGAGGGAGATGGTGCAGTGGCGATGGCAGTGGCTGCTGATCCCGCATGGGTGACAAGGCGAGCAGCCTCGGCTGATGACCTGAAGAGGAATGGGTATGGGGATGGGGATGGGGTTGGGGATGGGGATATCAAGTAGGTACAGAGGAGGGAGGTGGTGTAGTGGCGATGGCAGTGGCTGCTGATCCCGCATGGGTGACAAGGCGAGCAGCCTCGGTTGATGAACTGCGGAGAAACGAGAATGGGAATTCGGATGGGGATGTGCACGGGGGAGTGTCGAGTAAGTGGAGATGTCATTAGGTGATGACCCAGCATCTGCTCAACCCATCCACTCACCCCAGCATGTGCTAATGCCTGGCCTTATCCAGTCGCTTCATCAGACTCACATGCAGCTTCCCCAGCAGAATTACTGCACTTGGGATTGAAAATTACCAAGTCAACTCGAGTCAACTCAAGTCAAACCACTCACTCACCCCAGCATGTGCTGCAGTCTGGCCTTATCCAGTCGCTTCATCAGGCTCGCGACCCCAGCAGGATTAGTGCACTTGGGATTGAGATTTACCAAGTAAACTCAAGTCAACTCAAGTCAACCCATCCACTCACCCCAGCATGTGCTGCTGCCTGGCTTTATCCAATCACTTCATCAGGCTCGCGTGCAGCTTCCCCAGCAGGATTAGTGCGCTTGGGATTGGGACATACCAAGTCAACTCAAGTCAACCTACTCACTCACCCCAGCATGTGCTGCTGCCTGGCTTCATCTAGTCGCTTCATCAGGCTCGCATGCAGCTTCCCCAGCAGGATTAGTGCACTTGGGATTAATATTTACCAAGTCAACGCAAGTCAAACCACTCACTCACCCCAGCATGTGCTGCTGCCTGGCCTTATCCAGTCGCTTCATCAGGCTCGCATGCAGCTTCCCCAGCAGCATTGTGTTCTCGGGGCACGCCAGCTCAGCAACCACGTCACCCTGGATTTCAGGGAGGACCGCCAGAGCCATGGCGGTTTGCAGCACCTGGTGTGTGTGGCGTGGAGCATGGATCATGGAGGAGAGGGGATTGAGAAATGAGCAGCGGGGTACACGAAGGGGCGACTTGTGTCAGGTAATGAGGTGTGTCACAGCCATGGCGGTTTGCAGCACCTGGTGTGTGTGAATTGGAGCATGGAACAAGGAGCATGGAACAAGGAGCATGGAACAAGGAGCATGGAACACGGGGCAGCATTCAACATGGCACATGGAACATGGAGCAGCAGGGAGTAATAAAAGATCAGCAACGGCGTCGCCCTGGATTTCAGGAAGCACCGCCAATGGCATGGCGGTTTGCAGCACCCGGTGGGTAGTGACGTGACGTGGAACATGGAGAAGTGAACGATGAGCGTCGTGCCATGAGTATTGAATGATGAGTGAGGAACATTGAGCATTGGGCATTGAGCAACGAGCATTGAGCAATGAGCATCGAGCAAGAAGCAACAAGCAGTAAGCAACGAGCAATAAGTACCAAGCAATAAGCAACGAGCAATAAGAAACGAGCGAGAATTGAGCAATGAGCAATGAGCAATGAGCATTGAGCATTTCTAATAGGCATCTCTCGCTCAGAGTCAACCTCTGCTCTTTCTGCAACAGAGTTTTCCACACACACCCTGACCAGCAACAGTAATGACTCCAAAACCTTACACCTAAAACTGTAACTTGAACATCTGTTGTGTGCACCTGACCATCTGTTGTTTTCACCTGAGCATCCGCCTGCTGGCGGGAGGCCAGCTGGGGCGAGAGAATGACGATGGAGGCCGCCCGGGATGCAGAGCAGCGGTTGAGGTCGGCTGCTTTCAGGGGATCACCACGGCGAGTCATCACCTAAAAAGGGGGAGGGAGAAGAAAGGAAGAGGGGAGTGAGAAGAGGTAGAGACCAAGAGAGCAACAAGGGCTACTTGGGAGGCGGAGCAGCGGCTGAAATCGGCTGCTTTCAGGGGGTCGTTGCGGCGAGTCATCACCTGAAGGAAGGGAGGAAGAAACAAGCGAGGTAAGGAGTGAGAAGGGGTAGGGAGCAAGAGAGCAACAGAGGCTGCTTGAGAGGCAGAACAGCGGTTGAGACCGGCTGCTTTCATGGGTTCGCCGCGACGAGTCATGACCCATGAAAGCAGCCGGTCACCTCGCCCCCTCGCTCCCTCGCTCCCTCGCCCCCTCGCTCCCTCGCCCCCTCGCTCCCTCGCCCCCTCGCTCCCTCGCCCCCTCGCTCCCTCGCCCCCTCGCTCCCTCGCCCCCTCGCTCCCTCGCCCCCTCGCTCCCTCGCCCCCTCGCTCCCTCGCCCCCTCGCTCCCTCCCTCAGTCTCTCCTTGACCCAGTCACTCCCTCTCTCTTTCCTCGCTCACTCACTCACTCACTCACCCGCATCCCTCCTCGCTCTTCGATCGGTACAGCCTCCAACAATGCTCCCTCCATCTCCACTCCCTCCCTCTCTGTCACCACCACCACTGACGGCCGCTCCCCATTCACTCCCTCGTTCCCTCTCTCACGCACTCCTTCACTCACTCACTCACTCACTCCCTCACTCACTCACCCGCATCCCTCCTCGCTCTTCGGTCGGTACAGCCTCCAGCAATGCTCCATCCATCTCCACACTCTCCCTCTCCGCCACCACCACCACCGACAGCTGCTGCCCTTTCACTCCCTCGCACCCTCACCCCTTGACCTATTCCCTCACTCACTCTCTCACTCCCTCCCTCACTCACCCGCATCCCTCCTCGCTCTTTGATCGGAACAGCCTCCACCAATTCTCCATCCATCTCAACACTCTCCCTCTCTGCCACCACCACCACTGACGGCCGCTCCCCCGCTTCCACCAGAGCCTTCACCAGGGGAATGGTCTTGGGGGTCCAGCCTGAAGGGGAGGCGGGGAATGAGGATTGGGAATGCGGTATTAGGGGGATCGGCTATTACGTGGTCATAAAAACGCTCCCCCGCTTCCACGAGAGCGTTCACCAGGGGAATGGTCTTCGGGGTCCAGCCTGAAAGGGGGAGGGGAGTCATGACGGGGGGAGCAGGGGAGCAGAGAGGGACCTGAGGCGACTCAAGCATCTGCCTGCAACCACCACCACTGACGGCCGCTCCCCTGCTTCCACGAGGGCCTTCACCAGGGGAATGGTCTTGGGGGTCCAGCCTGAGCAATCAGGGTTTCGGGTTTCAGGTTGAGGAACAACAAGGGAGAAAAGGGGGAAACAATCGGTTAAGTTTTGGTACAACTTAAACTCTTCCACCAAAGCCTTCACCGGGAGAATGGTCTTGGGGGTCCAGCCTGAGCAATCAGGAACTGGATTTGGGGTTAGGGTTGCGGGGTTTAGGAACAAGGGAGCCACGAGGAGAAACAATGCTTCTGCTTTGAGTCGGCTCAGTGCTTCCCCGCTTCCACCCCCCTCTTGATTCACACAACAACGCACACCACACTCACAGCCGCCCGCAACACCTATATGCTCTCATGTACACCTGTCCATCCATTCTTCTCACCGCACACGAGCGTGTGGTTGCTCTCTATGACAGCCCCGTTGCCCTGCTCCAGCTGATCCACCTTGCTCGCCACCAGATCCGTTGCCAGCCTCTCTCTCCATTTACACACCACACACAAGGGCATCTACTCACCGCACACAAGGGTGTGGTTGCTCTCGATGACAGCTCCGTTGCCCTGCTCCAGCTGATCCACCTTGCTGCTGATCCACCACGCTAGTAGCCACCAGGTCCGTTGCCAGCCAGACCCCCTCTTGAGCCACACAACAACGCACACCACATTCACAGTCGCCCGCGACACCTATATGCTCTCATGTACACCTGTCCATCCATTCTCCTTACCGCACACGAGAGTGTGGTTGCTCTCGATGACCGCCCCGTTGCCCTGCTCCAGCTGGTCCTCCTTGCTCGCCACCAGATCCGTTGCCTGAACCCCCTTAAGGCACGCAACAACACGCACCACACCCACACTCGCTAGTAGGTAGGTACAGCTGTACACGCTGCAGATTTGTCTCACCGCACACAAGGGTATGGTTGCTCTCAATGACCGCCCCGTTGCCCTGCTCCAGCTGGTCCACCTTGCTCGCCACCAGGTCCGTTGCCAGAACCCCCTTTGAGGCGCAGGAAACCATATCCCACACTCACAACCGCTCACAACATCAATACATTCTTCTACACCCATTCTTACCGCACACGAGAGTGTGGTTGCTCTCGATGACCGCCCCGTTGCCCTGCTCCAGCTGATCCACCTTGCTCACTTCGCCACCAGGCCCGTTGCCAGCCAGACCCCTTCAGGCACACAACAACCCATGCCACACCCCCACTCGCTAATTGCTAGGTACACCCGTTACCTGCACATGCCTTAGATTTCACTCACCGCACACAAGCGTGTGATTGCTCTCGATGACAGCCCCGTTGCCCTGCTCCAGCTGATCCACCTTGCTCGCCACCAGGTCCGTTGCCAGCCCCACGAGCAACGCAAAGAAGAGCATCCCCCCCACCGACACCACTGCGCTCACCACACGCTTTGGCCCCGAGGCCTTCGGTGTTTGCAGGGGGGAAAAAGGGGGATTGGGCGGTGGGGGAGAGGGCGTGGGGCAGGGGCGGAGGTGTGGGGGGGAGGGGGGGGTGGGAAGAGGAGCATTTTCCCCACCGACACTTCTGCTCGCGCGCTCACTACACGCTTTTTCTGAGGCGTCTCTTTAGGCGCCTCAAAAACCGCGCGCTCACCACACGCTTCGGACCCGGACCGTGGCCTGTGGCGTTTGAAAGGGAGGGGAAGGGATGGGGAGAGGTGGGGGAGGGTGAGAGAAAAAGGGAGAGAAGTAGGGTGAAAGTGCAATAGCCTGTGTGGGAGTGGCAGACGGGGTTAGGGTGGGGCGGCAGGGGCATTGAGTAAGAGGAGGTGGGTGAGAAGAAAAGAGGGGGCCACGTATTGAACCATGGCCTCTAAGTGGGGCTCGGGAGGAGGTGGGTGAGAAGAAAAGAGGGGGACCATGAGCAAACAATCAATCAGAGCAGTAGTAGAGAAGAAGAAGAAAATCGTTCTTCTCGCACACACTCACTTCTGCACCTGCCCGCCTGTTTGTTACTGACACACTCACTTCTGCACCTGCCCGCCTGTTTGTTACTGACACACTCACTTCCGCACCTGCCCGCCTGTTTGTTACTGACACACTCACTTCCGCACCTGCCCGCCTGTTTGTTACTGACACACTCACTTCCGCACCTGCCCGCCTGTTTGTTACTGACACACTCACTTCCACACCTGCCCGCCTGTTTGTTACTGACACACTCACTTCCGCACCTGCCCGACTGTTTGTTACTGACACACTCACTTCCGCACCTGCCCGCCTGTTTGTTACTGACACACTCACTTCCGCACCTGCCCGCCTGTTTGTTACTGACACACTCACTTCCGCACCTGCCCGACTGTTTGTTACTGACACACTCACTTCCGCACCTGCCCGCCTGTTTGTTACTGACACACTCACTTCCGCACCTGCCCGCCTGTTTGTTACTGACACACTCACTTCCGCACCTGCCCGACTGTTTGTTACTGACACACTCACTTCCGCACCTGCCCGCCTGTTTGTTACTGACACACTCACTTCCGCACCTGCCCGCCTGTTTGTTACTGACACACTCACTTCCGCACCTGCCCGCCTGTTTGTTACTGACACACTCACTTCTGCACCTGCCCGCCTGTTTGTTACTGACACACTCACTTCCGCACCTGCCCGCCTGTTTGTTACTGACACACTCACTTCCGCACCTGCCCGCCTGTTTGTTACTGACACAGTCACTTCCGCACTCGACACCCTTCCACAGCACGTGTGTTGTGTATGCTGTCCTGTAACGATAATTCAAAGTCTTCGGCCATTTTACAATACTCACAGAACACATCCACATCACACTAGCTGCATATCTCACTCACCTCATTGACATGCTCGCTGGGGTTGGACACAAACGTCCACGACACCCACACCACACAGACAGACAGACTCAAGAGTTCACCTGCTCTGGGTGCGTGCATGTGTGTGTGTGAATGCACATATCGTACATGCGTTGCCCACCCACGCACTCACCTCATTGACATGCTCGCTGGGGTTGGACACAAACGTCCACGACACCCACACGGACTCAATCACCCACCTCCTCACCTGCCCTCTCGCTCTCTATGTGTGTGTGTGTTTGGGGGGAGAGGGGCGAGGGAAGGGGGGGCACTCACCTCGTTAACGTGCTCGCTGGGGTTGGACACAAACGTCCACGACACCCACACGGACTCTAGGGTCGACCCACAAGTCACCTACCTCACCTGCTGTCTCGTTCCTTTGTAGGCGGGGAGTGGGGGACCCACTCACCTCATTGACATGCTCGCTGGGGTTGCTCACAAACGTCCACGACACCCACACGGACTCTTAAGTCAACCTAACAGTTCTCATGCTCTCTCTGTGTGGGGGTTGCACCTCATTGGCGGGGGTCACTCACCTCATTCACATGCTCGCTGGGGTTGGACACAAACGTCCACGACACCCACACGGACTCGCCAAGTGGCAGGTCGTCATTGGACGCCACGGCTGCTGCCTTGTACAGCACCCCGCCCACTGCTGTTAAGAGCATGCAGATCGCTAGCAGCGTGAGAGCCTGTGGGATAGATCGGGTTAGATCGAAGAGGTGAGAAAGGGTTTGATGAGGCGAGAAGTGGTTTGATGAGGTGGGAAAGGGTATTGAGGCTGCTGCCTTGTACAGCACCCCGCCCACTGCTGTTAAGAGCATGCAGATCGCCAGCAGCGTGAGGGCCTGGAGGGGGTGAGAAAGGGTTTGAAGAGGTGTGAAAGGGTGTTGAGTCATTGGACGCCACGGCTGCTGCCTTGTACAGCACCCCGCCCACTGCCGTCAGCAGCATGCAGATGGCCAGCAGCGTAAGGGCCTGGAGGAGTGAGAAGAAAGGGGTTGAGAGGGGTTTTACGTGATGGGGAAGGGTAACCAGCACTGGAGCAATGCTGTTGCCTTGTGGTACAGGCTGCCAAGGCAAGAGCATGCAATGCAAGCACCTTCCCATGCATAGCATAGGTGCCTCAAAAGTTCTCTCTTGTAGCAAGCAAGTCAAGAGCATGCAATGGAAGCACGCACCTCCCACCCATGCACACCCACCCACCCACGCCCCTCGCACATCATCCATCCAGTTCAAGCTCTCGCCTGTCCCCCACCCACCTTGCTGTTGGGCTTGGTCGCAAAGATGTTGTCCAGCCAGCCAGTAGAGCAGAGCAGGCGAGTCCTCTGGGTGTTACTTTCCCATCTCAATTCAACAGTCACCTCTCTCCCCTCCCCCACACACCTTGCTGTTGGGCTCCGTGGCAAACAGGTTGTCCAGCCAGTAGTAGAGCAGAGCAGGCGAGTCCTCTGGGTGTTACTTTCCCATCTCAATTCAACAGTCACCTCTCTCCCCTCCCCCACACACCTTGCTGTTGGGCTCCGTGGCAAACAGGTTGTCCAGCCAGTAGAGCAGAGCAGGCGAGTCCTCTGGGTGTTACTTTCCCATCTCAATTCAACAGTCACCTCTCTCCCCTCCCCCACACACCTTGCTGTTGGGCTCCGTGGCAAACAGGTTGTCCAGCCAGTAGAGCAGAGCAGGCGAGTCCTCTGGGTGTTACTTTCCCATCTCAATTCAACAGTCACCTCTCTCCCCTCCCCCACACACCTTGCTGTTGGGCTCCGTGGCAAACAGGTTGTCCAGCCAGTAGAGCAGGCGAGCGCGCTTGGACAAACGACCCAGGGGCTTGGCGTCTTGCACGCCCAGAGGGATCTGAGAAGGTGGAAAAGTGTGTGGGGTGTGTGTGGGTGGGAGAGATGCGGCATATCTGGTTCAACTCATAAGACACTTGGACAGGCAGCCCAGAGGGATCTGAGAAGGCAGAAGGGGAAGACGGGGGAAAAAGGGTTTGAGGAGAGAGGGATGGCGTGGCCTCCTGCACGCTCAGAGGAATCTGAGAAGGAGAAAAAACGTGTGGGGTGGGGGTGGGAGAGATATGATTTTGTGAGTCAATTCAAGAAGGCGCTTGGACAGGCGGCCAGGGGCGTGGCCTCCTGCACGCCCAGAGGAATCTGAGAAGGATTTGAGCATGAGCTTCACTGATCAGCTGGATTTGAGTTAGGGGACGAGGCGCGAAGGTCTAATCAGCATACGTCCTAGACTGGATGCTTGTCTGCCATTTCACGACAGGCTAAATTTGCAGCGAACTTCCGTGGGTTGAGTGTGGAAGACATGTGACATATCTGGTTCAACTCAGAAGACACTTGGACAGGTGCCCCAGGGACTTGGCCTCTTGCACACCCAGAGGGAGTGGGTGAGAAGGCCAAGTGTGTGTGGGAGAGGGTGAGGGAGTGGGTGGTGAAAGGGGTCGGGGAGAATGGGGGAGCGGGGGGTTGAGACACCCAGCGGCTTGGCCTCTTGCACACCCAGAGGAAGAGTGTGTGGGGGAGGCACCTCAAATTTTAAACTGGAGTGATGGCTTCACCTCACGCCTTTGGTCTAATGGAGCAGAAGTAGAAACAAAATGAAAGCAAAGGGGTGAAGCCAACGCACCTGAGAAACAGAAGCAGGAGGAATCGCACCAGCACCAGCACCACCAGCACCTGCCACCACCACACCACCACCATCATCATCACCACACCTGAACAGCAGCAGCGGAAGCCGGCGGAGGCAGAGAGGCCATGGGGCGAAGGGGGTTCCAGCCGAGCAGCGCTGCTGCTGATGCTGGCACCAGCGCTGCTGCTAGGAGCAGAGGCCGCAGGGCGGACGGCTGGATGGATGGGCCAAGGGGAGAGAATTGGAAAGGACGGGGAAGGGAGGAGGGGTGGGGAGAGGGGGGAGAGAGTGGGGGGGGGAGAAAGCGGGTGGAGAGGGGTTGGTAAGAGTGGGAAATAGATAGAGGAAGAGGATTGAAGCGAAGGGAGATCCATTCATGAAACGCGCTGCTGATGCTGGCACCAGCGCTGCTGCTAGGAGCAGAGGCCGGAGGGAGGGTGGGCGCTGGGCCAGCGGCCGAGGCGAAGGGGAAAACGAGAAGGGCTGGGGAGATTGGGGAGTGGGTATGGAGGGAGGAAGCGGAGTTGGGGAGAAAGGAAGCAGGTTAGGTGAATTTCGCATCTTTCACTCACCCACACTGCTTGCACTATCACTCCTTTCACCCCCACATTGCTTGCACTCTCACTCCTTTAACCCCCACATTGCTTGCACTCTCACACCTTTCACCCCCACATTGCTTTCACGCACACGCTAACAGGCACGTTTCGAGCCACATTGTTCGCAGGATGAACCTAGATATATGCATGCGGCCTTTGGTGGAAAGAAAGACGCGACATCACACAGCAAAGTTTGCATGATTACATAATACACTTACGACATGCCCCTTATTGTGAATGCGGTCCCTTACCATCACAGGCGAAGTCACCCGATGCTCTCGCGTTCCTTCCCCTCCACTTTTCCCAGCCTCCGCCTCGTTGCGCCACTCCGCTTCCGCGCGCTGAGTCTCGCCACAGCCTCCGCCAGCGTAAGCGGAAGCCTCCGCGCGGACTGGTCCGCGGACGGCCTTGCTTGCAACGGTCGCATTGCGCTTGCTTCCAGGCGCTTCAGAAATGCGTCTGTCGCAACTAAGCTTTCGCGGAGCGCCGAACAAGGCTGTACTGCTGCTTCTGAGGCTCCGCGCATCATTGGTTCGCGGAGCTGCTCCCCGCGCGAGGATTCTTGCGCCGATGGACCTCCGACCGCGTGCGGGTTGCGCTGGCGCAGGCGGAAACGGCGCAAGCGGAGCGACATGCTGGAGCAGCAGCCGCATGGCCATGTTGATTGCGGAACAATGATAGCTTATCAGTCCGCGCGGATGCTGTCGTGCGCGCGGAGACTTTCGAGCGCGCGGTGGCTTCCGGTCGCGCGCAAAGTCTTCCGATGGCTTTACTGATCTGCGCGAATGGTGGTCAATAAGCGAGTTACTGGAAATTCTCTTCGCGATGTTAACTTCGAATGGCGCTGAACTACAAGCTCACACGAATCAGCTGAACGATCAAGGAATGTCTTATCTTATGGCGGAGCGAGAGTGATGGTACGCTAGCTTCTCGACCCTCTTTCAAACGGCGTGGAGTAGGAATTATAAATATACACCAAAGGTTTCGTTTCTCCGCTGCAGTGCGGAAAGAGCTTAGCTTGACCGTATGCGCTACGCTGCTAGCAAGATGGGTAATGCACACCCACAATGCAGCAGGAATGGCGACGGAGCGGTAAAAAACGAGCCAGCCTAAGTACAAAATACATATGGCCCAGCTAGGTACCACAGCAGCCGCCTATCCTGAGCTCGGCTCAAGACCGCAGGAACCGCAGAGCCCGCTCCGAAAATGGCGGTGACTCTGCAGATATTCTCCGAATGGTCAGACTTGGTCCTGAAATCTGGTGATAGCATTTGGTCAAACACACTCTCTGCTTCATGACCATTTCACTCAGACTGACATGACCGTTCAGTTCAGTTGTTTTTCCTCTGGTTTCTATGCGGTTTTTAGAAATAACCGCTTTGGAACGCATTAGACCGAAGGAGCCAGTGATACGTGACCAGAAATGTTGGGAAATGCCGAGGTTGGAACTGGCAAATCAAACTTCTGGACAGGTGTTAGGCTTCGGTACGTCCTTGTAAAGCTTGAATTCAAATTCTCGGTGGCATGGCTTTACAGGCCAAAGGAGCAGTTTGGTTTTCCTGTTTGATCGAATCAACCATGAACGCACTTCTGAACACGGCCTCGGTAGGTTACCATGAGATTCCTCATCTCGATTCCCCCCAAAACATGTGTGCACAATTCACCGTCTCCGATTGGCCACCTGCGGAGCTGGGGTCTCGACTGGGGGAGTCGTCGATGCATTTCAAGTCATGCTAAACGGTGGTTGCAGAACGGTTCAGTACGAGTCTTATTCTTGTCCATGGTCCATTATTTTCAATTTATTGGTGTCACCCTAATATGTGCTAACCCCCTAATTTCGCGTGGCCTCGGAGACTTGTCTGACAGGTCACAGCTGATGCAACTGGGAAGGCTCCAAGTCGACCTACGTGCTGTGCGGTTTTCGAGGAGTGCTCCTTGATACACACTACTAACCCTCAACGCCCCCCACAGCCCTGAGTCCGTACAGCCGCGGCAGCAATGTCCACCGCAGCAGCTCTGGCTCGATCAGTCGAAACACGCGTTTTGCGACGGCGGCCGTCGCTGCCGACGATTACCGTCCCCAGCACCAGGATCGCCGCGATTCCCGAGCTTAGTAGAGAGACCGAGCGCCGCGAGACGGAGATTAGTAGTGAGCTGTCGTCGGTCAGTCGCGGCGCGCGACTGTTACGGCGGAGACTCGGCGCGAAGGAGTCTAGGTTCGGTGGCTAATGCCGATCTCCTGGGCCGTTTCGCCCAGTCGTTCACGCCTCAGCGACGAACCCGAGCGACAAATTTGAACGTCGCCAGTTTCTTGAATGCTGGTAACTGCAGTGCCGTCTATCCCCGCAGTCAGTATGATCGCCGCCGGGAAGAATGTTCTAGCTTCGGCCTGCACCAGCACTGGGAACGGCAGCTAATGCGAGGCCGCCACGTGTCTTGTCAACGACGGAGAGAAACGGATATGCGCGCTGCAAGATCAAGGCACTCATCCTCGTTTCAATCCTCCCCAACATCCCCTTCCTCTCCCTCATCCCCTTCCCCTTCCTCTACCTCTCCTCCTTCTTACTCCCCTTCCTCTTCGGGCCTTCCGCGTTTCTTCTCCGCAAGTCTGCCCCCTTTAATGGTGAGGAGCCTTATATCGGGGATACGAGTGCTGTTCTTAGTTCGCCTTTCCTCATTTTCTGTGGGAGATATCATCGTGTACGTGCCACGTGCAGACAGGCATCTGATGACGTGGCAATGTGCCATGCTGGCAGGGCAGTGCTGTGCGATTGGTGGGTTCCGAGGCGTCACACATGACTCGCTCGCTGCGCCTTCGACCCGGTGACTTGTGCGTATAGCCTACTGCAGTCTTTCCAGTTGAATCGTTCTCGCCCGTTTTTCTTCTTCTTCTTCTTCAACGTCGTTTTGAGTCACGTTGAGTACGATTGGTGATTAGTTGGCCTTCTTGTCTGCTTTTGCAGAATTTTCTCGCCAAGTTTCCCTCCATCCACTAAGCCCTTTCCATAAGTATCCTCACCTCACCTCCTCTTCCTACCCCCCTCTCCCCCCCCTCCCCTCCCCCTCCCTTCCCTCCCCATCCCCTCCCTTCCCTCCCCTCCCCCTCCCCCTCCCCCTCCCCCCCTCTCCCCCCCTTTCCACACAACAGAGCCGAGTTGTTTGATGGCCAGGGATCCATCGTGACCGTCCGATTGGAGTCGATCGACCGCCAGCAGGGCCTTGTTCTTGTCGCCACGGAAGCTGCCCGAAAGGTTCCTTTCTCCAGCCCCCAGTGGACGGTGGTGGCAGCTTGTGGCACGCTCAAGGGCGGCCGCTCCGATTGGCTGATTGAGAAATGCACGGTCAGGATTTTCTGATTGTGAAGTGAGCGGATGTCTGAAAGACAAGTGCGAGGACAGGATTAGCTGATTGAGAAATGCACGGTCAGGATTGGCTGATTGAGTAACTGTGAATATTGTTTTTCCGACTCAAAGTGCTGACTCCGCGCCAGCAGTGTGCACATGCATAGTGCCTCCCACATAGTTGAGGTGGTTTTTAAGGCGCCTCAAAAACCTCCTCAATGCATGGCTCCTACCTGGGACTCCGCGCCAGCCAGCAGTATGCACACATGCATTGTGACTGCCACATAGTACCGCCGCCCCCCTTCCCTTCCACCCTCGCCCCTTCCCCCCTCGCCTCCCTTACGTGTTTACACATGCAGCATCTGGGAGCGGTGGGGTTCATTTATTCATCCCACTATTCTCTATGTGTATTTATATAGTACCTCCCCTCCTTGCCACCTCCCTCCCCCCCACCCCCCTTCCCCCTGTGTGTATCCTCATAATAGCCCTCCCAACCCTCTTCCCTGTTCTCCTCTTTCTGTGTGTTCGCCTGCAGGAGCTGGGAGCAGCGGGGTTTATCCCACTGGTCACTGTGTGTATCCACATCTGCATGTCTCTCCCCTCCCTCCCCTCCTCCTCCGCCCTGTGTGTTCACATGCAGGAACTAGGAGCAGTGGGGTTCATTCCTCTGGTCACGGAACGGTCAGGGGGGAGGGGAGAGGGGCGGGTGGACAGATGGGAGCGAGTGGCTCTGGCTGCTGCTAAGCAGAGTGAGTGTGGGGGGAGAAGGCACACACACGCGCGAGCGCGCACACACACATGCACGCACACACACACACACACACACACACACACACACACACACACACACAGGCAGTTGAACCAAATTCCACTTGCCTCTCTCCCGTCCGCCCGCCCCTCCCTCTCTCTTGTCCGCCCCTCCCTTCCTTTCTCTTCCTTCTGCCGTTCCCAGGCCAGTCCATTCATCGTCCTCTTTTTGAAGCGCCTCAAAAACGGAATCCGCCCCTCCCTTTCTCTCCCATCCTCCCTTCGCCTTTCGTCCTTCCGCCCCTTCCTTTCTCCCCCCTTCTCTTCCTTCCGCCCGTCACAGGTCAGTCCATCCATCGTCCCCTCATCCACGATTTCACCTCTCTCAGCGATCTCACGAAGCAGGTACGTGGGGATGTGCGTCTGTTAGTACTCAAATCTTGACACATCTCACAAGCCCATTTGTTGTCTCAAAAGCACTTTCATCCATTGGCGTCCCCTCATCCACGATTTCACTTCTCTCAGCGACCTCATGAAGCAGGTACGTGGGGATTTCACCACCTCTCGCCCACCCACCTTTCCATCTTGACTGGGTTGAAGGGGAGGTGATGTCTGAGTCAATCCTGAGGCCACATTATTTTGGATGCTTGTAGCATACTGCTTGCTTTTAGGTTGGATTGGATGTCAACCTGTAGAAGCTCCTTATGTAACCAACACCTTCTCACCGCATCCCACTCATATTTCTTCTCTATACGCCACATCTTCTCCATCATTCCTCCCCGGCAGATTCATCAGCCGCTTTTTGCTCTGCATGGAGCAGCCAATCCAAGTACACCAACACCTTCTCACCGCATCCCACTCCTATGTTGTCTTACTGCTGCATCCTATTTTCCCTCTTAACCCTTTTTGTCCCACCTCCCCTGCAGATTCAGCAGGCCCCTTTGGCTCTGCTGGGAGCGCCCAACTCACCACCCCTGCTGGCAGCAGTCGGGGCGATGGATCCTTCCTTGCTGCTAAAAGGGGGGCTGCTTATAGTGGGACCTGAAGGAGGTGAGACGTGGGTTTCAATCCAATTTTGAGGTGTCTCAAATGGGGGTTGAGTTGAGATGTGTGGTGAGGATCAAATGCAGATTTGCGAAATTTCAGATCGAGTTTGGTGAGACGTTTGAGAACAAGCTTTCAGACGTCCCAAATGGGGGTTGAGCCGCGTGGATCAACTCAATGCAGATTTGCGACATTTTAAATCGAGTTTGGAGACGTTTGAGTTTGAGCTCTGAGACGACTTTAGAGTGTGTTTCATTAGAATAAACACAAGAAGTTAAGAGAGCATGAAAGAGGCGACTTGTGAGTTGACTCAACAAACGCACTAAGTTAATAGAGATCATGAAAGCCTGTGAATGTGAACGAAGCCCTGTGGGGACGTGGGCTCACATGTCACCGGTCATGTAGTGTACAAGAGCAGTAGCTTGGATTGTTGTGCACCAGACCCTTAACTTTCTCTTCTTGAGGCGCCTCTAAAGTTTTGAGACGATTTTTTTGGCGCCTCAAAAGTCTGGCCATGTAGTGTAGAAGAGCAGCAGCTTGGATTGTGCACCAGGCCCTTAACTTTCTCTTTCAACCACCAAACTACCAAATCCTCTCAACCTCAACCCCTTCCCGCCCCCCACTACCCTGCAGATTTCACCCCATCAGAACTAGAGGCTCTGAAAGCAGCAGGGGCAACGAGAGTGAGCTTGGGGCTGCAGAGGCTGAGAGTGGAGACCGCTGCAGTGACCATGCTGTTTGCTTTTGTGCGCCTATATGCCTGCTCTTCATCCACTCAAACCTTTCTCCTCATGTCCTCCCCCACCTCCCCTTCTCCCCTCCTCCCCTCCTTCCCTCCTCCCCCTGCAGACTTCACCCCATCAGAACTGGAGGCTCTGAAGGCAGCGGGGGCACGGGCAGTGAGCCTGGGGCTGCAGAGGCTGAGAGTGGAGACTGCTGCAGTGGCCATGCTGGCAGGGGTCTCGCTATTAGCACACTCGTTACAAGAGCACGGAAGCTGAGAGGTAATGGAGGCAAGTGATGAATTTTGCTGGGGTACAAGAGCAGAGCAGGTGCTGATGCTGTAAACAGGTTGGGCTGTGTTCACCGTAAGCTTGCCACGACAACGAGGGCAACGTATGGTGATTATCACGGTGAGCCCCTACCGTATATTGGTTTAGGGGTGGGCTGGAAAATGAGAGTTGGCTGCATATTGATGATGATGTCGGGGCAGAAATACGTATTGACACCGCAATTATCTGGCAGATGAATTCGCAAAACTCCCGGTTGTCAAGGATTGTCTTAGCTACCCTGGTTTTCCTGCTAGTATGGGCTTGAGTGTTTGCATTTGCAGTCACCTTCGTTGTGGTTGGCACGAATGAGGAGGATTTGCGGGAGCGCTTCTCCCTCACGACCTGAACCTATCCCGATTAGTTTGGTCGCATATTTTTTCCTGACTTAATTTCAGTTTCAGTAATAGAATTTGGTAACCAGTTGTTTTTGGGATTCGTCGATTTTCTATATATTGTTGCTCGCCCATGAACTCGCTCACAATAATACGCTATATAGTTGATAATGCAAGCCTGCTCACTCACCAAATTGCAGGAACTGCTGTGCGTTGCCAAAGTACCTACATCCTGTCTGTATCGGGGGTCGGAGCTCCCAACCCAAGGCCTCCCTCGTTCAGAAACTCTTTCGTGCAGATCCAGGCACTGTAGCAGAGCAGACTGGCAGGATACCGTTCCACGCTAGCAGCATACCGTGCCAGGCTAGTAGCGCGTACGGCACCATGGCACTTTGTCGGGTTTCCCGTGTTTCGCGCAGGTAGCCTAGCTTCGCATATTAGCCGCTGCGCCCGGTCATTCTACATTGGCTCCGTTTCCTCGCTACTAGCCTGCTTCCTTACCTAGTCGCGCGGCCGCCACCACCCGACTTCGTCCTCGTAATAAACCGGCATTTCGATCATTGGACAGGCGCGTCGGATTCGTCTTCGAATCGCGTTATGATTCACCATGTCCTCCTCGCGTGCGTGCTGGTCCTCGCGTCTCCGCAATTCGCGGCGGCGCGCACCACGGCATCAGCCGTGGCGATGGGTGACGTGGCAGAAGAGACAAAACGCGCCGCCCTAACTGTTCCACGCCACGTGTCAGCCGAACCCGTAGCCACCGCGCCGGGCCAGGCTCCGGAATTCTCGCTGATGCGATCCGACGTGGCGGCCAACGCGTCGTTTGCGTACGCGGCAATCCTGTACATGGGCACGCCACGTGACGACGAGTATTACGTGGCGACACGTGTCATGCTGCAGACCGTCCGACGCACGGGCACCGTCGCGGATCTCGTCGTGCTGGCATCTGAAGACGTCCCTGCCACGTGGACCAATACGCTGTGAGCAAATCCCGGTTCAAGTAGACTTAAGGCTAATTACATTGGATCTCGTGGATTTATTCATTCATTTCCCCTGTCTTTCTCTGTTTGTGTAAGCAATCGGCCTTCTCGTTTTCTTTGGTAGAAACACTCGCCTCTCGCACTTGCTCTTCCCCGTCTTCGCTCCCCCAGCAAGAAGGAGGGGGTGCGGGTGGTGCGAGTGAGCAACATCCCCAACCCTTTCCGGGGTAGTGCTGCTTTTAACCCGCGCTTCCCCTTCCCCCTCAACAAGCTGCTCGCCTGGCACCTTAGAGAGTACACGCGGGTCGTGCTGCTAGTGGTGGTAACACCCTCTCCCTCTTCCTCTGCTTCTCCCGCTCTCCCTCCCTCCCCATTCTCCCCCCCCTCCCTCCCCCTTCCTCCCCTCAGACAGCAAGAAGGAGGGGGTGCGCGTGGTGAGAGTCAGCAACATCCCCAACCCTTAGGGCGCGTAACCATTTTGCATTTTACAATTTTGACGGACAGTACGATTTAAACGAAGCGGACGGTCCTATTATCGAGAGCGGGACCGTCCGAAATGATTTTTTGCAACTTCGAACTGTCCGAAGACAGATGTGACACTTTTTTGGGATTGTATATTTTTGCGAGAACTGTAGCCTCGTTAGAGGTTCTGTATCTTAGTATTTCAATTGACGACATGTCGCCGTAAAACTTCGTTCGCCAATCGTAAGGAGGTACTGTACATTGAATTTCGTCCGCCAATATATAGCCAGGACTGATGGACCGTCCGTTTGGGTTTCGGACAGTCCACGGTTCACATTGCGGACTGTTGAAAATGTGAAAAAGTGTCACGACAGTCCGCTTTGTTGGCGACGTCGCCAACACCTCTGCGAATATCCTTACGATATAAAGCGAAACAGGTTACATTTCGCCAGACCGGACGGTCCGCAGTTCGAACCGTCGGGTGCAAAATGGTTACGCGCCCTTACCGCACCTCGCCCGCCTTCAACCCGCACTTCCACTTCCCGTTGAGTGTGGTAGCACCCCTCTTCCCGTATCCCCCCTCTCCTGTTTCCCCCCCTTCCCCATAACAGCAAGAAGGAGGGCGTGCGGGTGGTGAGGGTGAGCAACATCCCCAACCCAACCCCTACCGCACCACGCTCGCCTTCAACCCGCGCTTCCCCTTCGCCCTCAACAAGCTGCTGGCGTGGCGCCTGAGGGAGTACAAGCGGGTCGTGCTGCTTGTGGTGGTAACACCCCTTTACCCCCTCTCCCCCTCCCTCTCCGCCTCTCCCTGTCCTCCCCTCCCCCAGCAAGAAGGAGGGGGTGCGGGTGGTGAGAGTGAGCAACATCCCCAACCCCTACCGCACCACGTCCGCCTTCAACCCGCGCTTCCCCTTCGCTCTCAACAAGCTGCTCGCGTGGCGCCTGCGCGAGTACAAGCGGGTGGTTCTACTAGATGCTGACAATCTCGTCCTGAAGAATATCGACGAGCTGTTTCAGTGTGGCAGCATGTGCGCTGTCTTCATCAACCCCTGCATCTTCCACACCGGGCTGGTGGTACTGAAGGTAACCCCCTTTCCAAGGTGCCTCGTGCTCAAGAACGTGGACGAATTGTTTCAGTGTGGCAGCATGTGCGCTGTCTTCATCAACCCGTGCATCTTCCACACGGGCCTGGTGGTTCTCAAGGTGAGTGTGTTGATGGGCCTGGAGGGAGTGCAAGCGGGTCGTGCTGATGGGCGCAGATAACCTCGTGCTCAAGAACGTGGACGAGTTGTTTCAGTGCGGCAGCATGTGTGCTGTCTTTATTGACCCGTGCACCTTCCACACCGGCCTCATGGTTCTCAAGGTCAGTGTGTGTTGAACCACCAGGGTACCTCCTCCAGCAAGCTGCTCGCGTGGCGCCTGAGGGAGTACAAACGAGTCGTGCTGCTGTATGCTGATAATATCGTCATGAAGAACGTGGACGAATTGTTTCATTGCGGCAGCATGTGCGCTGTCTTTATTGACCCGTGCACCTTCCACACCGGCCTCATTGTTCTCAAGGTGAGTCACTTGAGAGGCAATCACCTGCAAGCTCCAGATAACCCCCCAAGCAAGCTGCTCGCGTGGCGCCTGCGGGAGTACAAGCGGGTCGTGCTGCTGGACGCTGATAACCTCGTGCTGAAGAGCGTGGATGAGCTATTCCAGTGCGGCAGCATGTGCGCTGTCTTTATTGACCCGTGCATTTTCCACACCGGGCTCATTGTGCTTAAGGTGCGTCACCTGATATCAGGGATAAATGTGGCGCCTGAGGGAGTGCAAGCTGGTCGTGCTGATGGACGCGGATAACCTGGTGTTGAGAAACGTGGATGAGCTGTTCCTCTGTGGCAGCATGTGCGCTGTCTTTATCGACCCGTGCACCTTTCACACCAGCCTCATTGTGCTTAAGGTGAGTCACCTTACGTCCGACGACTGCGACGGAGGAGGGGGGCGATTGCGTGGTGGTTAGTCCACCGACTGCGACGGTTGCTGTGATAGAGCTCTCGTCGTCGTAGGAGGAGGACGACGACAACGTGGTGGAGTTTTTTGGAGGCGGAGGCGGATTTGTCTAGCCACGTTCCTGAGTCTGTCGAGGACGTGTGCAACGGACGCTTCTCTGGAAGGTATTAGCAGCCTTAACGTACTTAAATCACTTTATCTTAGTGAGACAAAAATGACCGACGCAGGAATAGCGAAGCTGCGAGGGTTGACCGCACTCTTGTCTCTGGCCTTAAATGCTTGTGGGTCGATCACCTCCGCCAGCATGGTGCACGTGGGCCAACTGACAGCGTTGGAGGCATTCTGGCTGGATGACAGCCCAGTGCGGGAGGACGGGCTGAAGCACCTGACTGCTTTCACCCCCCTCGAGGTCCTCTCCTTGCCGTCGGGTGTGAGCGATTCCACTATGAAGCTCCTGAGGAGCATGAAACGCCTGAAAAAACTCGGGCTGTGGCATTCTAGAATCACTGCTGACGGCGTCAAATGGCTCAATGGGCTCAAGAGCCTCCAGGTGATTGCAACGACAAGCAAGGATGTAGAAGACTGGATTAGGGACAATTTTCAGAAAACTCCAACCCTCAAGCTCTCAAGCTCCAACCAGGTTCCCGAAAGCTATCCCTAATAAAGCCTTCTACATCCTTGCTTGTTGTTGCAATCACCTGGAGGCTTTTGAGCCCATTGAGCCATTTGACGCCGTCAGCAGTGATTCTAGAATGCCACAGCCCGAGCTTTTTCAGGCGTTTCATGCTCCTCAGGAGCTTCATAGTGGAATCGCTCACACCCGACGGCAAGGAGAGGACCTCGAGGGAGGTGAGAGCAGTCAGGTGCTTCAGCCCGTCCTCCCGCGCTGAGCTGGCATCCAGCCAGAGTGCCTCCAATGCTGTCAGTTGGCCCACGTGCACCATGCTGGCGGAGGTGATCGACCCACAAGCATTTAAGGCCAGAGACAAGAGTGCGGTCAACCCTCGCAGCTTCGCTATTCCTGCGTCGGTCATTTTTGTCTCACTAAAATAAAGTGATTTAAGTACCTTCAGGCTGCTAATACCTTCCAGAGAAGCGTCCGTTGCACACGTCCTCCTCCTCCACCTCATCGGCGCCTGACGGAGTACAAGTGTGTCGTGCTGGTGGACGCCGATAACTTGGTCTGAAGACAGTTCGTGGATGAACTGTTCCTCTATGGAAGCGTGTGCGCTGTATCATAGACCCATGCACCTTTCATGCGGGCCTGGTTGTTGTCAAGGATGCACCCTCCCTCTACTGACGGTTGACCAGGCCCCCAATTCATGCTTTTCGCCTTCCACCCTCCTTATCTTCCCCACCCCTCCCTTGTCCCCCCCCCAGCCGTCAGTGAAGGTGTTTAAGGACATGATGCAGCAGCTGCGTTCTCTCCCGTCACACGCCCTTCTTTCCTACCCTTCCCTCCCCTCCCTCCTAACACCCCCCCCTCCCTCCCCCCAGCCGTCAGTGAAGGTGTTTAAGGACATGATGCAGCAGCTGCGCTCTCTCCCGTCACACGATGCAGCGGACCAGGGCTTCCTCAACCGCTACTTCCCCACCCTGTTCTCCTCGCCCCTCTTCAGCAGCTTCTCTTCTTGTGCCTCCCACTGACAGCTTCCCACCACCTCCCTCATACCTTGCCCCTCCACCCTCACCATCTGCCCCGCCCCCCTCTTCCCTCCCTCTTCCCTCCCTCTTCCCTCCCTCTTCCCTCCCTCTTCCGGTTCCCCCCCCACCCCCCAGCCGTCAGTGAAGGTGTTTAAAGACATGATGCAGCAGCTGCGCTCTCTCCCGTCACACGATGCAGCAGACCAGGGCTTCCTCAACCGCTACTTTCCCACGCTGCTCGCCTCGCCGCTCTTCGTGCCCCCCACTGACGGCTCGGCGCTCAAAGGGCAGTTCAGACTGCCCATGGGGTACCAGATGGACGCTATCTTCTACAGTGAGTGTAACCAGTCCAACTCATCATTACCACAGTCCGTTTGAGTCACATGGGGCAAAGGAAGAGGTTACTTCACTGCTCTGCTCGCCTCGCCTCTCTTCGTGCCTCCCACTGACGGCTCGGCGCTCAAAGGACAGTTCAGACTGCCCATGGGGTACCAGATGGACGCTATCTTCTACAGTGAGTGTAACCAGTCCAACTCATCATTACCACAGTCCGTTTGAGTCACATGGGGCAAAGGAAGAGGTTACTTCACTGCTCTGCTCGCCTCGCCTCTCTTCGTGCCTCCCACTGACGGCTCGGCGCTCAAAGGACAGTTCAGACTGCCCATGGGGTACCAGATGGACGTTATCTTCTACAGTGAGTGTAACCAGTCCAACTCATCATTACCACAGTCCGTTTGAGTCACATGGGGCAAAGGAAGAGGTTAATTCACTGCTCTGCTCGCCTCGCCTCTCTTCGTGCCCCCCACTGACGGCTCGGCGCTCATTCAGACTGCCCATGGGGTACCAGATGGACGCTATCTTCTACAGTGAGTCACGTGGGGCATGTGAGTCACGTGGGGCATGCGGGGAAGAGGTTATTGCTCTGCTCTGCTCTGCTCGCCTCGCCCCTCTTCGTGCCGCCTGACGACGGCTCGGCGCTCAAAGGACAGTTCAGACTGCCCATGGGGTACCAGATGGACGCTATCTATTACAGTGAGTGTCACCACTATGCAGTGAGTGTAGTGGGGTACTAGTAGCACATCTCGTTACAGGCACACGGGGCAAGGGAATGGGCACTCCCCTTAAAGGGCAGCTCCGGCTGCCCATGGGGTACCAGATGGACGCCATCTATTACAGTGAGTGTCACCAGTATAACGTGCTACACTGAGTCTTGCAAGTGTGCTTCTAGCACTAGCACATCCTGTTATAGTCACAAATGGTCAATCCAACTGGTTGGCATTTGAAGGGCAGTTCTCACTGCCCATGGGGTACCAGATGGACGCCATCTGTTGCGGTGAGTGTTGCGCTATGCAGTGAGTGTCTCCGGGCCTATTGTAGTCACATGTGAAAGGGGAGGGAGGAAGCATGTGCTCAAATCAAAGGGCAGTTCTGACTGCCCATCCCATGGGGTACCAGATGGGCGCCATCTGTTGCAGTGCAGTGCATGAGTTCCTACGGTTGGCACTTGGAAGGGCAGTTCTCTGACTGCGCTGCTGTGAGTTACTTTGCTCTGTTGATCCTACTGCTTCCTCCCTCTCTCCCTTCATGAACACTCCTCCTCCTCCTCTCAACCCTTTTCCCCACTACCCACCTTGTTAACCTCTGCTTCACCGCTTCTTCCCCTCTTTCTTTCACTCCAGATTTGAAGTTCAAGTGGGAGGTGCCTTGTTCCGACAACAAAATAATCACCTTCCCCGGGATCGCGCACTTAAAGCCCTGGTTCTGGTGGTCGTACCCGCTCCTCGCCCTCTCCCTGCACTGGCACTCCTGGCGCCTCTCCACCATCGCCTACTCCTCCCACCTCCCCACCTGCCTCCCCTCCCACCTCCCCGCCTGCCTCCCCTCCCGCCTCTCCTCCCCTCTCCTTTTTACTTCTCCCCTTCTCCCCTTTTTTCCTGCTTTCTTTCACTCCAGATCTCAAGTTCAAGTGGGAGGTGCCTTGCTCCGACAACAAGATCATCACCTTCCCCGGGATCGCGCACTTAAAGCCCTGGTTCTGGTGGTCCTACCCGCTCCTCGCCCTCTCCCTCCACTGGCATGCCTGGCGCCTCTCCACCATCGCCTACTCCTCCCACCTCCCCGCCTGCCTCTCGGCCGGCGTCTTTTGGCTCGTAGTGCTCGCGCTCAGCCACGTCATCGCCCGGGCGGCAGCCGACCCATCCTCGATTCTCTACCGCCTCACCCGGTGGTGTCAGGGTTCCAGACACGTTGGCGGCCCCCCTGTTGTCTCAGGCATAGGGGGGAGCGCAGCGGGAGGGGGAGCGGGAGCAGGAGGAGGGGGAGTAGGGTCCACTTCTCCTTACTCTCGCCTAGGGGCGCTGGGGACAGGGTTGGGAACGCCAGGAGGGGGATCGAATGGGGGTGTAAGTGGAGGGGGAGCAACGACAGGAGCAGGAGCAGCGGCAGCTGCTGCTGCTGCTGGGGGAGTATCAGGTCTCCTCTCCTACCTCTCCCCCTGGTTCCTCCTCACACTCGCCCTCACGGTTCTCTCCGCATGCGTCTCCTTCTGGCTCGTGCCGACCACAGTACACCCGTTTCTCGGCTGGTTGCTCTTCATGTTCGGCACCTTTTCGGGTCTTTCGCTAGTTAAAGCCCTGGTTGGCGCCACAGCAGCGATTTTCTGGCTGCTACAGTACCTGGTGGTGGCTCTTATCGTCTTGGGTTTGCCGGTTTACTCGGCTTTGGCGTTTAAACTGTGTGCGATGCACCTGCTTGCGTTTGGGGCGGGAGCGGTGCTGCTGGTGCAGGTGCAAGCGCTGCAGTTTGGGTTTCTCACTGGGGCTGGTTTGGCTCCAAGGCCAACTAGCTCATCAGGAGGCCGCTCGCTTTTGGATTAGAAATTAGAATAGCGGTAGAAGTGTTTCATTACAATCTGTTGCAGCGAATGCTGAATCCTACGTGATATTGGAAATTGGTGCACTAATGCGCTTCTGATGTCTTGCCTTGATAAAACAATGTCAAGCTTGAGGTTGGTGGTTATTTGTTTTGTCATGAATCATCATGACCCTTTTGCAGGGGATGAGTATGAATCAACCCGACATATGCTGACCACGGAAATCAGCTCTTACAACAAAACAGGTAAAACATTTCTTGGCGCGTACTACGAGACCCCTTCCCTGACACACCGAGATTCTGGCGGGAAATTGAAACGACCGTTTGAAATTGCTTCCATCAGATGGCGTCAGTTATGAGTTCTGACTCCACACATCGGCAGGATTAGGGCGTGGAACATTTCAAAACTTTGACGAGAGTTCCGTACGATGCCTCTTAGTTCCGCACTGTCGACCGGTTTGGGCCAAACCGGACGGTGGTTCGGACCCAGCCTCGTCCGGTTGGGAATTTGGAACATTTGACTCGGTTTTTGAATTTGTATTTTCGAACGTCACTGTGCATTGTCGTACCGTCGCACCTGGTAGATGCAGATAATCGCCTACAGACAGCCACCAATAGCTTTTTTTTTTTTTTTTTTTTTGGTGGATATAAGTACACTACATGCATACAAACATCCGCAGTCGTAACTGATGCTAGGAGGGCAAGATAGTGTTACACATCACCCCCCTCATCCACTCTATGGAGGCTGAAAGGCCACCCCGCCATCTTCCCAGATTGCTTTGAAACCCGAGCGCCACGTCATCGATGTCTCATTCTCGTACAACCTACGCATGATATTCTCCTCATCCAACGTCAGATGCCCCCAGTCGCCAGCTCTCCTTGCACCGCCTTTTCCAGCCACTCTTTTCCGAGCCCTACTGTAGACCTTCACGTGCCTTGTGAAGCTAACTGCCATGCGCCTCAGTGCTCGCTTTGGCTGAAAACGGCTACCCCTGAAGACCGCGTTGCACCTCTCCAGCCAAACTTGGTGCGCAGTGATTGAGATGAAAGCTGCCTCCAGAAAACCAGTCGCCGCACCGCTCTCTTGAAAAAGCATGTCCCCGAGAGACTCCACGTCCCTGCCCAGGTTCATGCATTGCACCGCCATCTTCATCACCCCGACCACAGGCTGGATTGCAGGGCAGCTGTACAAACAATGATTTTGCGACTCCGTGCCTCCGCAATGTGGGCAGCGTGCCCTTGCGCCCAGGAACGGCAGCCTCACCCCCACTTGTAGGTTATTACTGTGTGCCCTGAGCACCACTTCCCGCGCTCTGCATGGCGTTGCTAGAGAGTCGCGCACCGTGATGGCCTTCCCCCAATCAATCCTCCTCCCCAACTCCTCTTCCCACTGCAGTTGCTGCTTGGGCTGAGACACAGGGGGTTTCATCATTTTCCTCAATTGCCTTAGCTCGGCACGCTCGCCCTTGTCGCAGACAGACGAGTAGAGCAGCCTTGTTCTCGGGGCCCCCAGCGGACCGCGTGCCTTCCCATCGATGACCGCCATCGGAGTAGCTCTCAAGAAACCGATAGACACCACGCTGGCGTACTTCGCTGCGGCTATATGAACCTTTTTGTCCACCACCACTCTCTTTCCGTACAGCTCGCCATCAGCCGCGTATTCCAATCGGTAAAATAAGAATTCCCCGGGGCGATATGACGGTGAGCGTATCAGGTTCGCCTCCCTGAAAACCTCCTCCGCTGTTAGCTGCCTAAGCACCATGTCCTTCCATCCTTGCGGCGTTGCCTCCCAGGCATTCAGTGCCCACTTCCTTTGGTCCACACCTCCCAGTTCCTGCTCCAGTTCGGCGTTGCTCTTGAGGGTTCTGCTGCCGTCGTGCCACTTGTACACCAGGTCACCCAGTCGGACTCCTTTCAGACATTGCGATCCCATCTGGTTCCCGAAGGGCGATTTCCCTCTGAAATTTTTTTTCCGGTTGAACAACAGCTGCTCCTCTTCCGCATCCCACCTGTGCGCTGGGTCGCTCATGACCAAAACCTTTGAGTCCCAGAGTGTTTGCACCGCTGCTTTCCATCTTGTGCCGCCTCCCAACCAATTTTCCAGGATCGACGGATGGGCGTAGATCGTGGCCAGCCCGAGCGGGAAACCAGCCGCTCTCTCCCACAGCCAGTTCCTCAGGGGCTCCTGCTCCGCCAGCGCCTTCCCCAACTTTTGGAGAGCCAAGCTGTCTATCCGGTGCCTCAGATCTATTACTCCCAGTCCACCCTCCTTCCGCTCCCTGCAGGACAGCTCGTAGCTCCAGAGGATAAAATGTCTGTCCAACAGCGCCCTGCCCCCGGAGATGAAATTGTGGCATAAACGTTTCACCTTCTTCCAGACGTCGTGCGGCGGGGCGTATATCTGCGCCTGGAACATCAGAATCGGCATCGCATAGCTGTTGATGATGGTGACGCGCGCCGATGTCCTGAGGTGTTTCGTCTCCCAGCAACTCAGCACCGCGCTCACGCTCTCGAACGCCTTGTCCCATGCGGGCACCGGTGAGCCGCCAGATGTAATCCAGATTCCAAGTAGCCTCTCCGCCTTGTCCTTATCAGCCCACTTATAAGCTGTTACCAGAGGCTGTAGCCTGCGCCGATTTTTACCCAGTGGCATCAGAGTCGTCTTGTCCTGGTTCACTCTCAGGCCGGAAATCTCCGCAAACTCATCCAGCAGAGCTTTTGCCCGTTCCACCTGCTCCTTCCCTTTCAGGACCAGCGTGGTGTCGTCGGCGTAACTGATATAGGCCAGTTCTCCCTTAACTCCACGTTTCCGGACTCCCAGCTTTCTCCTCTCGATTTCTTGGCAGAGTGGTTCAACCGCACAGAGGAAGAGATACGGGGCAAGTGGACAGCCCTGCCGAACCCCTTTCTCCATCTCCACACGCTCTCCCACCCATCCGTTGAGTAACAGTCTGGTGGCAGCACCCTCATGAAGACCTTCAACCCACGCTATGAAGCTATCAGGGAAACCCATGTGCACCAGCGTCTGAAACAGGTACACCCGAGACACCGAGTCATAAGCTTTCTGAAAATCGACCAGGAGAAGCAGCCAGTCCTCATCCTCCTCCTCCGCCGCGTCTATTGCATCAGCCACCAGCGACACCGCATCCGCCAGGCTTCTTCCCGGGAGGAAACCGAATTGGTTCTCAGATATCACCCGCGGTAAGGCCAGCTTAATCCTGTTCGCCAACACCTTCGCCAGCAGCTAAAGAAAAAACTTAGTAACGTGATGGGTCTGTAGTTGCCTAAAATGTCTCTGTCCCCCTTCTTATGCAGCAGGATGGTGACCGCGGTCATGAAGGACTCGGAGAGCGTCGCCGACGACTCAAACACTTTGACTTCCTTCATCACCGCTGGCCCCAGGAGCTCCCAGTTGCGCTCGAAGAACTCTTTCGGCAAGCCGTCTTGCCCCGGGGCTTTCCCCGCCGGAAGTCCTTTGAGCGCTGCCTTCACCTCCTGCTCTGACCACCCGCTTCCAAGTTGCAGACGGTCACTCTCCAGAAGCCGCCTCTCATCCTCGATCGGCCACGGTTCCCTGGTGGGTTGTAGTGGAAGGACTGCATAAGCGTCACGGAAGTACTCAGACGCCGCCTGCAGCACCGCGCTTGCCCCTTTCCTTTGTACGCCTTTAAACAATATCTCGCTAATCTCCGCTTTTGTTTTCCTCGACTTGACCAACCCTGACAGGAAACCCGACGGCGTCTCCCCAGCCACTTCTGCCAGCAGCCTTATCATGGCTTGTAGGCGCTCCTTGACACTATCCGGGTAAAGCTTGAGGGCCGCTTCACACTTGATCAGCTCCTCGTACAACTCTTGCGATGACGGATCACACATTACTCTCCATTGGAGGTTCTCCACCTTCTGCTCCAGATGTGCCATGGTCGCTTTAATCCTTTTCCTCTCCTCCGCCACGTGAGCTCTCATGCTTGCCCGCAGATTCACCAGAAGTCTCTCCAGGCTCCCAGCTGGTTGACACGTTTGCGCCTCCAACACCGCCGATATGATATTTTTAGTCCCCTCCCCTCCCGACTGGGATGCTGGTAGTCTCCACAGTCCATGACCATTATCGCTCGCCGTCGCCGACTTAAGCGACACCATCACCGCAAACCAATGATCAGTGAGACTGTATGGTACCATCTTATGCTTTGCCTCCACCACACAGCCGAGTAGCGAATGAGAGACTAACACCCTGTCGATCCTTGTGCTCGTTCTTGCAAACCTGGAGAAAAAAAGTGTATTCTTTGCGGGTCGGATGCAGGCTGCGAAAGGCATCTTGTAAATCCCATTTTGAGCAGATCTGCAAGAGCCTCCTGTTCTCCGCCGGAGTTCCCAGCTTTGATGATTTATCCAACTCCGGGTCCGCAACGATGTTTAAGTCGCCAAGAAAAACCGTGTAAGGCGCCGTGGGAAAACTCTGCACAAACAGCGTTAAAACGTCCCTGAAGAAAACCCCTCTGTTAGCAGCCTGAGCGGGGAAATAAGCTGCTACAATTCTGCACCGTAAGTCGCGCCAAGTTACCAGCAGGCTCAACAGCCAGCCTGACTCATGCTTAACAACATCCGTGAATCTCATGCCTTGCAGGAAGCCCAAGACCGCCACCCCCCCGGCTCGCTGCAATGGACCAACCACCACCTGAGCATCCGATCTGACTTGCGTCCAGAAGTTATGGTCAGCTTGTACACGAGTGTCTGTAAGTACCACGATAGTTGCTGCCTTCCGTATCCATTTTCCGCATCTTTCCTGCTTCCCGCTACTGCCGAGCCCGTTGATATTGAGCTCGAGGATGCTGAGGTTGTTGTACTTATCCATTAACCACCTTCGCTAAGCCCCACAGCATCCACGGGCGATTGAGCTTCATTGCAACGATACAGCCTGCTACAGCAAAAGAGAACATTGCGCCAACTACACATCCAGCTACCACAACTGCCTTTGCTGCATCAGCCCCCCCCCAGGCGAAGGTGCTGTCAACTGAGCCACTGGTCACTGCTTCGCCGACTTCACGATATACTCCTTCTTGAAAGCGAGTAACTTCTGGGAGTGCGTGTTGACACGGGTGGCAGAGCCTTCCTTCCGCAGACCCCCTTTGTGCCTGGCAGATGCGATGTGAGCAGCCGCCTGCTCGAACCGGTTCCCCTGCGCCTTCTCGCATGCCGTTTGCACACAGACCCATTCCTCCTGCGAACCGCCGGTGGAGGTTAGCACGACAGCAGGATCCCTCATGATCCTTTTCAAGAGGTTTGAGGCTTTCAGAGACGCGGCTGCGGGGAGAGGTAGGCAGGCGAGTGTCAGTAAGAGGTAAGTAAAGCAAAGCTAGCGGTAAAGAAAGCTGCATCTGCAGGTGAGTAAAATCATTTCTTGTACCGTTGAACTCATGAACCTTTTATACCGTCAGGTTCCAGTTGGTGAAGCTCTCTTGGCGCGGCGTGATGTAGTGGCCGTGGTAGCGCGACATGTGCTGACCACCGCAGAAGTCACAGGTAAGCGACGGGAAGTGAACCAGATACCGCTTTCCTGTCGACGGGTCCTCCACGAAGTACCTCCAGCGGTACTCATCAGCGACGTGGGGGATGATCAGGCCCCTGATGCGGTCGGTGTCCATCCCCGTGACTGGATCAACGGTGCGATGAAAACCGAAGCCGCTAGCGAAGGCGCTCGTCCCGCGAATAACCAGCTTGGAGACCACCAGCAGACGACGTATCAGCTCCGCAGTAATCTCGGCCGGGACTCCTTTAAGAACAACCTCCTTAGCCACGCAGGAAGCGTGAGTTCTCCGGATGCTGCCAGGTAAGATCGATGCACTCCCCGTTCAGACACTCGTGGTTGATGACGTGGTTCCAGACGTAGTTTGCGTCCTTGACATGGTTGAACGTGACTTGCAGACGGCCAAAACGCCTGCTGGAGAAATATGTCACCGGAAGCTCCTGGTAAGTGGTTGTCTGCTGAGCGTCCGGGGACAGATGTTCTTTCCAGTCGTCGAGCAGAGCAGCAATCGTCACAGAAGCTCGGTTAACCTCAGCTTTCCTGGGAAAAGGCACGAGCAGGGTTAGCGAGAAGCGTTTAAGAGCAATCACGCTACTGATCGCATCCGGCTCCAGGTGTTCGTCGGAGTCGTCACTCAGGTACCCATCATCCTCATCGTCAGGAGCCATAGTCGAAACGGCATCCGCATCTTCGTTTGCCTCGCCGTCACCAGCCTCACCACCCGCGACTTCATCATTGTCAGCTGGTGGTTTAGCAACCGACTCATCAGCGTCCTTCCCCTCCTCACCAGGATTCTCATCCGATTCCGCACCGCGGTCATTGTTGTTCTGCAGGTCCAGCAGATCTTCAAAGGGACCACTGGCGTCAGCCGATGAAGCACCCTGCGCAGCCTTATCAGTGCCTGGAGCACCCTTCACCGGTAAGTCAGGTGAGCCATCACCCTGCTGATCGTTGTCAGCATTTTTCTTGTTGCTCTTGTTGCTCCGTCCTCTTGCCATGGTGCGATGATGAGAGTTGCTTGACAACAGCCTGACAGTGGCTGAGGCACAAGCCGATCTGAGCACAGACACCATTTCGTGCTTCATTTTATATCGTTGATGCTTGTAGGTGAAACCCCGCAGGTCCCGAGGAGAAAAACCCGAGGGTGCCATTGGGAATAGAATGATGTCTTGGGTATCGAAGCCCTTGGTTTTGACGCGAGCAGGAGGCAGCTAGAGTTGTAGAACACGATGGAATCCATGGAGTAGCTTATAACTCTGATAAAAACCGTGTACAGAAACCTGGCTGGATGTGATATGTAGCGATGACGATAGCCTGGACCGCAACAAAAATGTGTTTAGGTTCCCGTAATGAACACTAAAAGAGCACCGTTGTATAAAGCTTAAAGCCGTGCATCGTCTGAGCGCTTCAAATCCAAAATCAGGCAAGAAATTGTTACACATTGGCCGAGTTAAAGCTCTCCGCCATGGCCATGGTGTCATTGTTATTGTCAAATCGTACGCTTTTCGTCGTAGATATAAGGGAAAATATGCCACAAGTAACCAACTTGGGACTCGATAACGTGAATGGTAAAAAAAAAACTTGTACGGTCACTGTATCGGGTTTTCTGACGGGTTTGGTAAGCGGGGTCACGGATTCAGTCACTAACAACAGGTAAAAAATCACGCGAATGGTCACACATGTAACTCCCGCCAAAAAAACTTGAAACTCAACAGAATTCCCGCTCGCGCCCAACCAATCTGCTAACTTCTAACAAAACTAAAACCCAATCGGAATCGGATGCAACTTGGGAACGGATCAACCCTAAACACCTGGCGAGTTACGTGTTTAGGGTTGATTCATCCGAAAATGCATCCAGGTTTCTTTTGGGTTTCATTTCGTTTTGGCGGGAGTTTCATCTATGACCATTCGCGTTTTTTTTTTACCATTTGATAGTGACTGATTACGTGAAACGTTTTATCAGTCGCGTGAAAACATCCTTTGCAGTGACCGTAACCTTTTTTTTCTTACCAAAAATGTTATGGAGTCCCATGTTGGTTACGAATGGCATATTTTCCCTAGATATAAACACGCTTCATTTGCCACCAATAGCAACACTTGCATGCGACCAGACAATCGGCAGAAACCCAACTGGGGTTCCGCCAGAAACTCTGCGATTTTGCATGCTGTCAGTTGCGCGATCACTGTGCCTCTGTGTTCCGAACGGGGCAATTCCGATCGTTCGCACTGTCAGTACGGGAAACCCAGCGTCAAATGTTCCACGTGGGTTCCGCACGATGACGACGTCGCAGGAACCCTGGCGACGCCTATTGCGAAATCCAACGAAGCCTGTCACCACACCCATATTCCGAGCGGTGCCTTGGTACGCACCATGCAAAATCGAAATGTTCCACGCCCTTAGGAGAATTTAGTAGAGGCCGAAGAGAATACAGCCACTGTATCTAGAATTTAGGGCGTGTGTGATTTTATTCTAGGTTCAAGAAACAGGTCGAACTTTTGCTGGTTACCAGCTGCGTTAATTTCGCGAACGCTGTGTGACGACAGACCTTTCCTTTGAACACATGGCAAATGCGACCTAACTTTTCCGAACTCGACTCGAGTCAATGCATAAATGTGGACGCGTACATTGAGCCGTACGTGTGTTATTTTGCGCACGTACGACGAGTGTCGAATTTGGCGAAACCTCTGCGACGCAATAAAACCTCCGCCGAAAACCACAGTCACTATGTTGACGTGGCGCGATGTCTACGGAATTATATCTGGTCAACCTACCCCCCTGCGAGCGGCTCGGCGCACTCCCTATGAGGTCGAACATTCCAATTCGACCTTGGGTGTGTGATTTGACATACCTGAAAATGTTTTGCGCGGTTCAAACTTCACGTTCAGCGGAAGTCGAACACTGTTCGGCTCAAGTTTAAATGCTACATTCGACAAAAAAAATGCGAACTTGGCCAATTTCCAGAATCACACACGCCCTTATATTGGTCAACTTCCAAGGTTAGCTGAGCAGGAGCATCTGGGCAAAGCATCGTCTCGGTTTATATTTACAGAAGTTTTAGTCGCTCGTTGACAATACAGTGGACTTGAGAGAAGGTCTGGGACGTCTTAGAGCCACTTTTAATTGGATAATACAAGATCCCTTTTTCCTCGTTGCTTCCGTTTCGAAGCACGGCAATAGAAAGGCTATCATCGTCTCAAATAAAGAAGAAATGGGAAAGGTGCGATTCTGACAGTATCTAGACGTAAAATAAGGTGCTCGTTCGTAAGGCGATTGTTAGGAAAGGACGCAGATGAAACAGCTTGGAAGCGTCGTTCCGTTACCGAACAGCCTACCAGGGAGATCCTTGTTCCCAAATCACCTAAGAAATGCCCCTCGGATTAGTACCCTCAAAAACTCCTCTCTAACCGCTCTGATTGGTGGAAACAAAAACCGCGTTTCCGCGCACCTGCGCGATGGCAGCGATGGCGCCTCCGAGAACGGGGGGACAGGCGGAAGGCGGAAGCCGGTTGGCGCAAGGCCAGGCCGCGTTGGCGGAAGGGCGACTGGCGGAAGGGCGACCGGGGGAAGAGTCATGGGCTCATGGGGGGACGCTTTGACGGTGGAGTTCGGGGAAGGGCGGAGTGTTGTGCTGGAGGGGGGAAGGCGATTGGCGGAAGTGGGGACGTGGGGAATCGGCGGGCCTGCGGATTGGCTGGCGGAGGTGACGACAGTTGATGAGATGGCGGCGGTGCTTAGGTAAGTGCTCGTGGGAGAACGCACTCAAATTTATCAAGGTCTCCAACTGCTTGTGTGTTAACGGTCAGGACTTCCCGTGTCTTTTCCTGTACCCCTTTCCTGTGCGTTCCAGGTTCTGCCACAGCAATGCCATCCGCGCGGTGGTGATAGGCAAGGGCTCCAACTGCCTGTTTGTTAGTCACTGCCTTTTACACACTTTCCTGCATCCGTTTACTGTGCATCTCCCCCCACCAAACTCAGGTTCTGCCACAGCAACAGCATTCGCGTGGTGGTGATAGGCAAGGGCTCCAACTGCCTGTTTGAGGACCGCGGGTTCAAGGGGTGTGTGATCGTCAACAGAATCGCGCACAAGCGCGTGGAGCTCAGAGGTGCTGCTGCTGCTGCGCATGTGGACATAGATAGCAGCACCAGCCAAAGGGAGAACAGCGCAGTCGACAGCAACAGCTATGATAGTGCAGGCGGCAAAGACAGCAATGACAGAAGCAGCAGCAGCAGCAGCAGCAGCAGCAGCAGCAGTAGCGGTGATAGTGATGCCATTACCAGCCGCCAGGAGGCTGAGTATGAGGTACACGTGGGGGGAGGGTACCCGTTCAACCTGCTGGGCGTGGAGTGCTCGCGAGACGGTGATACTGATTCCATTACCAGCTGTCACGGTGCTGAGGGGTACGATGCGGTGGTGCAGGTTGGGGGAGGGTACCCGTTCAACCTGCTGGGCGTGGAGTGCTCGCGAGACGGCCTCTCAGGGCTGGAGTTTGCAGGCGGCATTCCCGGCACCGTGGGAGGGGCTGTTTTCATGAACGCAGGGGCGGATGGACAGGATAAGGGGAATTCAGGGGGATGAGGGAGATGAGGCATTCCCAGCACCGTGGGGGGCGCTGTGTTCATGAACGCAGGGGCGGATGGGCAGGTGAGAGGCAATAGGGATAAGGGGAATTCAGGGGGATGAGGGAGATGAGGCATTCCCAGCACCGTGGGGGGCGCTGTGTTCATGAACGCAGGGGCGGATGGGCAGGTGAGAGACTGTAGAGGGTGGTGAGTGTGTGGGGCATACTGCGGGCTTATGGGGCGTTTGCAGGCGGCATTCCCGGCACCGTGGGGGGCGCTGTGTTCATGAATGCAGGGGCGGACGGGCAGGTAAGAGACAGTAGAGGAAGAGGGGATAGGTGAGAAACGATAGGGCGTATGAGGTGCATAGAGAGGAGCGAGTGGCTGGGGCATTCCCGGCACCGTGGGGGGACGGACGGGCAGGTGAGAGGCCACTGTGGGTGAGGGAATAGTGGAACGAGGCAGAGAAGAGCTATAGCAGTGCAGGAAACTGCTGATTGACTCCTCCTCTTATCCTGATTGATGGGCCGCCTGAGTCACAGGTTTCCTCCTTTCTCTTCCATCCCTCCCTCCTTCAGGAAACAGCCGACTTTCTGCTCTTAGTGGACGTCCTCTCTCCGACCGGCACTCTCCTCTCCTTCCCTCACGCCCATCTGACTTTCCCCTACCGCCACTCGCCCTTCCAGCACATGCCCTCCCTCCTCCCCTCCTCTTCCCCCTCCCCCCCCCCCCCCCCTCGTTTTCTCTGTTTCCCTTTTTCTCAGGAAATAGCCGACTCTTTGCTGTTGGTAGACGTCCTATCTCCAACCAGCCCTCCTCTCCTCTTTCTGCCGCCACTCTCCCTTCCCTCCTCCCCCCACCACCTCATTTTCCCCCCTCCATTTCCTTCACAGGAAACAGCCGATTGCCTTCTCTCTGTGGACGTCCTCTCTCCGACCGGCACCCTCCTCTCCTTCCCTCGCTCTGACCTCACATTTGCCTACCACCACTCGCCCTTCCAGCACAAGCCTTTCCCTCCCCCATCTCCCCCTCCCGCCCATCCCGCCCATCCCACCCTCAGGAAACAGCAGACTGTCTGCTCTCTGTGGACGTCCTCTCTCCCACCGGCACTCTACTTTCCTTCTCTCGCTCCGACCTGACATTTGCCTACCGCCACTCGCTCTTCCAGCACAAGCCTTTCCCTCCCTTCCGCCCTCCCTCGCTCCCCCCCCCCCTCTCCCTCACAGGAAACAGCCGACTGTCTGCTTTCTGTGGACGTCCTCTCTCCGACCGGTGCTCTCCTCGCCTTCCCTCGCGCCGACCTGACCTTTGCCTACCGCCACTCGCCCTTCCAGCACATGCCGAACTGTGCTGCTATAGTGGGAGCAACTTTCGGGCTGAGGAGGAGCAGTGAGGCACGGGACAGGCAAAGGCGGTACATGGACAGGTGAGGCATGAGAAGCTGTTGACTCCGTTGACTTAGGCACCCTTCGACTACCGCCACTCGCCCTTTCAGCATATGCCGGACTGTGCTGCCGTAGTGGGAGGCACATTCGGGCTGACCAGGAGCAGTGAGGCGCGGGACAGGCAGCGGAGATACATGGACAGGTGAGGGACGGCAGTTGTCAGGACTGCTAAGAGGTCTCAAAGGTGTGGGGCAGTGAAGTGTGGGAAAGGCAGCGGAATAACATGGACAGGTGAGGGGTGGTGGCGATATCCGAGTGCCTCAAAAGCGAGGAGTGGTGAGGAGACTTCTTAGAAAATTGAAAGAATTTCTCTTGTGAGGGCGGAATCGCCTGGCTCCAAAGGCACGTTGGGTTTTGGGCAGGCAGTGGAGCTCAGGGATTGGTCAGGCAGTGAGGCTTGAGCTTGGGTATTGGGCAGGCAGGCAGTGAGACAATCTCACTTTAAAACCGGAGTCCCAAACAGCCCGAAACTGCCTCAACCTTCCTAACTTTGGTTGGGTGTGACCCAGTTGATACCGAGCTCTCCTCGCAAATTGTTGGGACGATTTTCGCCAAGCGAAATTACTGTTCAAGCGAGGACGATAGCGGTGACAACTTCGCAAACACATTTGCAGCCCGTCCGAAACAGTCAGCGAACGAGTTCTGACGTAGCATTCCAGATCTGGTTACACTCGCGACTTTTTCATACTTAGCGACCCGCTACCACCGATTTCGACACCACCCTGGCTCGCGAGCCAGTCACCTTTCTCTCCCCTTTCAACCTTCCTAACTTAGAAACTCTTGGACCTCCGGTTTTAAGCATCACCTTGACCCAGGCTGTTGGACCTTGCTGCTTCTAACATTACCCCCAGACAGACACAACAACTCCCTTACTCCCCATCCTCCTCACTCTGCTCACTCACTCCCAACAAGCATCCACTTCAACCTCCCTACCCTGCCCAATCCCTTCACACCCTATTCAACATCCACCCCATCCCTTCTCTCTGTGCCAGGCGCCGGCAATCTCAGCCCATTGCTGATCGCTCCGTTGGCTGCATTTTCCACAACCCGGTACCCCCTTCTGTCTCTGCTCCCCATCAACTCTGCTCGATCACTCTCGAAAAACGACCTGTTTACCTCCCCACCTTGCACAATCCCTCCCTGCCGTATTCCACCACACCACACCCACCCCATCCCCGCTTCCTGTGCCAGGCGCCGGCAGTCCCAGCCCATTGCAGATCGCTCTGTTGGCTGCATATTCCGCAACCCTGCACCTCCCTCTGCTTCTTCTCTCCTCTCTAGCTCTGCTCCTCCTGTGGGTTCCTCACCACCAGCTGGTTTAGCAGCAGCTGGTGCTTCAGCAGTTACTCTCCCTGCCTCTGCAGGTGCTCTGATAGACCGGGCTGGGTTGAAATGTCTGCATGTTGGAGATGCTTTTGTGTCGCCAATGCATGCTAACTTTCTGGTGAATGGTGGGGCATGCAGTAGCAAGGATATGGAAGGGCTGATTGTTGAGGTGAAGAGGAGGGTACAAGAGGAATTTGGGGTTGAACTCGTAGAAGAGGTTAGGCGGATTCCATATGAATGAAGAAATATTGTAGTTACATGTGCTACACAATATTCTGGAGATAGTGATAATGTGCGGCCCCACAGATGGTATGTGGATGGAGATGACTGTACAGTTACCGCAATAGAAGATTGATAAGTGGTCCCGTATGGAGTACATGTGCTGAAAAATCGGTGTCGGTTTGATATTGGGTTTTGAGTTGAGCACGCACTGTTACTGAACTTCTTCGCTCCCAGCGCAACTTCAGCGCTTCTGGCGCACTGTTACTGCTCTGTTTTCGCTCACAACGCAGAGTTAGCTCCTTTCAACGCAGTTTTGATTTCATTGGTCCACACATGGCACATAACTACAAACCGAACCTGTGGATACTGTCACTGAAAACAGTAACTACTTTTATTTGTTTTTAGTGCTAAACATTATATATACCCCTTGAACAAAGGTATCGACCCTAAATACCTTCCGAATGGTGTTTAGGGTTGATGCTCTATCGAGACAAGCCATCGAAAAAAATATACTCGTTGGGAAGGGCATCAATCCTAAACACCTTGTCTCCCGGTGTTTAGGGTTGATGTCTCCCTCGAAAAACATGCCACCCGATAGGGTTTTATTTTTTTGTGCCCGAAATGCTTTCGTTTGACGGTTCTGTGGCCGCCAACCAAAGCAGAGTTATCGGCCCGTCAATTCTACGACCAATGAAAGCAAAACTGCGTTGAAAGGAGCTAATTCTGCGTTGTGAGCGAAAACCGTGCAGTAACAGTGCGCCAGAAGCCTTGTAGCTACGTGGGGAGCAAATATGATCAGTAACAGTGCGTGCTCAACTCAAAACCTTTGATATTCGTCCGCAGGCACACGGCATCGGAACTGCTTCCACGAGACGTAATTGACGTGGCACGAGCTCTAGGGAGTCGCGTCACCAACCACGTGGATGATGCGTTCACACGAGCCCCTTACACAGAGACATGTGGACAGAATCGCAGCAATCCCCAAAGAATTCAATATTACCACGTCATACGGAAATTTCACGCGCTTTGTCTGGAAGGAAATATCGATGGGATTTTCGAAACTCTCAGGAAGTGTTCGAGAACCGTCAAGTAGCTGAAACAAGTGCGCTAAACACACGAACTAGCACGTCATCTGTATAAAGTAGCAGAATCAATCAAACCCATCAATTTTTGAATTTGAAGGACTTAGGAAATGAACACGCTCTACTACCATTTTTACATTTCACAACCAGCAGCCAAGGCTTTATTGCGCGACTCGCCGGTTTTCGAATTTGTGTCAATCCTGTCGACCACTCGTGCACCACGTCAGCACAAATTAGAATTCCATAAATCCGATCGACCCACCCTTTTTCTACACTTGCAAACATGAACTGGTCACTCTGTCGCAAGCATTGCTACTGCTTTAGGGTTTCTCGAATTTCGTAGGGTTGTGTGTGGTAGATTCTGTCGCGATATGCATACAATGATTACGCGTGTCTCTTGGTCACTCGTTGAAACGATCGATATAAAGTTGAAACTACTCAAGTCACTGTAGGGATTTAAGGAAAGTTTTCTCGCGCGCGCAGTTTTGTCCGTAGTATCACGAAATAGTTTCGCGACAGTCCTCGGTAACTCGTTAAAAACATCTGCAATTTCTTGTTCCTATTCGATTGTACACTGTTCGATTGGTGCAAAATGTCCCTAAGAATATCACTTTTAGACGGGTGAAACTCGTAAGGTAATTTCTGTTCCCAAGACCAAAAAAACGAAAACCCATTTAAATGAGATTTAATTCGGGATGCATCAACCCTAAACACCTTGTCGCATGGTGTTTAGGGTTGATGCTGTCAGAGTTATATGACATAGCTACTGTAGGCTATAGTGGGGTAGCACATATGGGGTACAGTTGCCTAGGGTTTGCCTTTTGTACCCAACTTTCACTTAGTCATTTCATTCCTGTTTTCTTGATTCACATGGTATAGAGCGGGGTCCTACATGGGACCGTTCCTTCCTAAGGGCCCACCATAAGATTTTTTTTTTTAGCTGCCCGCGCACATTGCGCCCTGCCCTAATTTTTTTTTTTTTTTTAGCGGCCCCTACGCTGCCCCTACGCGACCCCTACGCCGCCTCCCACGCGCCCCCTATGCGGCCCCTGGCGGCGCCCTGACGAGGCCCCTGCCGGCGCCCTATCGCGGCCCCTGACGCGCCCCCTGGTGGCGCCCTGACGCGGCCCTGACGCGGCCTGACGCGGCCCCTGGCGGCGCCCTGACGCGGCCCTGCCGTGGCCCCTGACGCGGCCCTGACGCGGCCTGCCGCGGCCCCTGCCGCGGCCCTGAAGCGGCCCCTGACGCGGCCCTGACACGGCTCTGCCGCGGCCCTGACGCGGCCCTGACGCGGCCCTGCCGCGGCCCCTGGCGGCGCCCTGACGCGGCCCCTGACGCGGCGCCCTGACGCGGCCCCTGCCGCGGCCCTGACGCGGCCCTGCCGCGGCCCCTGACGCGGCCCTGACGCGGCCTGCTGCGGCCCCTGCCGCGGCCCTGAAGCGGCCCCTGACGCGGCCCTGACGCGGCTCTGCCGCGGCCCTGACGCGGCCCTGACGCGGCCCCTGCCGCGGCCCCTGGCGGCGCCCTGACGCGGCCCCTGACGCGGCGCCCTGACGCGGCCCTGCCGCGGCCCCTGACGCGGCCCCTGCCGCGGCCCCTGACGCGGCCCCTGACGCGGCCCCTGTCGCGGCCCCTGACGCGGCCCCGCCACCTACCTTTCCGGCCACGCCGCCTCCTCTCAGCGGCCCCGCCGCCTCCTCCCAGCGGCCCCGGACGCCGCCCTCTCAGCGGCCCCGCCGAGCCGCCCAGCAGCCTAGCCGCCCAGCAGCTGAGCCACCGAGCCGCCCAGCAGCCGAGCCGCCGAGCCGCCCAGCAGCCGAGCTGCCCAGCAGCAGAGCCGCCGAGCCGCCCAGCAGCCGAGCCGCTGAGCCGCCCAGCCGCCGAGCCGCCCAGCAGCCGAGCCGCCCAGCAGCCGAGTCGCCGAGCCGCCCTGCAGCCGAGCCGCCCGAGCCGCCCTGTCCGGTAAGAGCAGCGCCTCTCTCAAAGCACTGCCCTCACCCCACTGTTTGCGCTGCTAGTCTACTGCTGTCATGGCTACCCCTAGTGTCCTCGCTTTTGACGCTGAGGGTCGGGCCATTGACTTTGACGTCTGGATAGATGACCTGCAGCTTTTCTTACAGTGCGATAGGGCAGACGGCCTCTCCCTCTTTGACCTCACTTCTGGTGCCTCTCCTGCCCCCGCCACTGATGCTGACGCAACTGTTCGCTCCCAGTGGGCCACGCGCGATGCTGCTGCACGTCTTGCTGTGCGTCGCCACCTGCCTACCTCTGAGCGTGCGCACTTTAGCCAGTACAAGAGTGCTCAGACCTTGTACGACGCTGTAGTTGCACGCTACTCCTCCCCTGCCACTGCTGCACTGAGTCGCCTCATGCTACCGTACCTCTTCCCTGACCTTGCTGCCTTTCCCACAGTCGCTGACCTCATTACGCACCTACGCACTAGTGACACTCGCTACCGCGCTGCGCTTCCTGCTGAGTTCTGCGCCAAGAACCCCCCCCCCATGTACATCACCCTCTACTACATAGTCACCCGGCTCCCTGACTCCCTTCGCGTAGTCAGGGACCACTTCCTCTCAGTTTGCCCCACCACTCTCACCGTTGACCTCCTCGAGAAGTCCCTCCTAGCAGCAGAGAAGAGCATAGTAGCTGTAGGAGCCTCTCGTGGTGACCCTCGCACCCCCATCTTTGAGGGGTGTTCCCCCTCCCCCCTTTTGCCCTCTGTTGCCTCTGCTGCTGCGGCCGACCTCGTTGGGCTTGAGTCGGTCGGTGCGGCGTCTACCCCTAGCGGGAGACGCCGCCCTGGCAAGGGCAAGGGGGGCAGGGGCGCTGGAGGAGCTAGCGGGGGCGGTGGAGGCGGCAGTGGAGGCGGTGGAGGAGGTGGGGGTGGCGGTGGGGGTGGTGGCGGGGGTGGAGGTGTCGGTGGCGGCAGTGGAGGCGGAGGCGGCAGCGGCAGTGGCGGAGGGAGCGGAGGTGGCGGCGGTGGAGGAGGAGGCGGCGGAGGAGGTGGAGCTGGTCGGGGTGGCGCTGCGCAGAGGGTCGGCTCCGGTGGTGGTCAGCGCCAGCAGCAGCAGCAGCACCAGCAGCGCACTCGTGACATCCCCTCCCCTCAGCAGCTCCGTGAGTGGTACACTGCACGCCAGAGGGGTGGGGGTACTGGTCCGTGCACCTACGTCCTCCGCACCGGCGACCGCGCGGGTGAGCAGTGCGGGGGTGCGCACTCCACCCAGCGCTGCTTTGGCCGCCTGACGGACGCTTGGCGTCACCAGTTCCCTGAGGCCACTGAGATCCCCCGCTGGGGTGAGCTGTCTAGGGCGGGTGTGGCTGTCTTTGACCTTGACTTTGATGCTATTCTTGCTGCCATGTATACTGTGACTATTAGTGATGAGGGTGACTGTTACCGGTGTTTTTCGTCCGACCCGGGCATTGAGACTGCTGCTCTAGGTACTGGTGAGGCTGCTGCTCTAGGTGCTAGCGAGGCTGCTGCTCTAGGTGCGTCTGCTCCCTCAGGTGCTGGTGAGTCTGCTCTCTCAGGTTCTGCGTCGGCTTCGGCCTCCCACACCTTCACCCTTGACTCGGGGGCTTCTCGCTCCTTCTTTCGAGACTGCACCACACTCACGCCGCTTAGCCGGCCAGTTGCAGTCTCTCTGGCAGACCCCTCTGGGGGTCCTGTCCTTGCTCACTTCTCCACTGTCCTCCCGTGCCCGGCGGCCCCCTCTGGCACCCTGTCTGGTCTTTACCTTCCCTCGTTCTCTACGAACTTGGTGAGTGGTGCTGACCTACAGGATGCGGGGGTTCACCAGTTCACTCCTGCGAGTCGGCGGATGACCCACTGCACGGACGCTCGGACAGGCCGACACCTGGCCACGTTTACCCGTCGGCCGGGGTCGAGCCTGTACACCCTGACCACTGCGTCTCCTCCAGTCACTGCGTCTGGTCA